GAGTTTCATTCTTACATCACCCGATTCTTTTCCCTGCTGACCATAGAGCCTTCAGGGACTCCCACCCCCACCTACCACATACCCTTACCCACTGAGCCATCTCACCAGGCCCTCATAAATTTGTTGCTAATGTTCCTTAATTGCAGTCAAGAAGAGAAAGGAAGCTCTTTGCTGTGGGAAGCATGCTTGTGACCACAAGCCATCTTAATTGACAGGTTGGTAATTATTACTTAGCTTCAGTAGCTAAGTAATTGAGGAGAAACTAAACAAAGATACCAAACACTTAAAAACATATATGACTGGCCCAGTGTGGAGGTGCATGCATTTAATCCCAGTATTCGGGAGGCAGAGGCAAGAGGATCTTTGAGAGTTCAAGACCAGCCTGCTCTACAAAAATAAGTTCCAAGACAGCTAGAGCTACGAAGCAAAAACCCTGTCTCAAACAAACAAACAAAATATGACTGCCAATTGAGTACTAAAAAGGAAAAAGATTTAAACTTGAGTCAGCCAAAGCCACCAGGCACTGATGGCTCTAACAAGGCACATTTGTTTGTTTGTTTGGCTGGCTGGTTGGTTGGTTTATTGAGAGAGGGTGTCTCTGTAGCTTTGGAGCCTGTCCTGGAACTAGCTCCTGTAGACCAGGCTGGCCTCAAACTCAGAGATCCGCCTGCCTCTGCCTCCCGAGTGCAGGGATTAAAGGCGTGCGCACCACCGCCCGGCTACAAGGCACATTTTAAAAGGAAACTAGCTTTCTTCTCCTTGCAATCATTTCTCCCTGTTGAAGTTTCTCATCTATATCCCTGTTTGTCGTCCATGGGTCTAGAGTGGCAATCAAACCAGAATGAGTGTGAAATTCTCATATAAATTCTCATATAACAAGATGTCACAAGAAAAGCCACAGAATCAACTAACCTGAACTCTTAGGGGCTCACAGAGCCTGAACTGCCCCCCAGAGAACTTGTGTGGGACTGACCTAGGCCCTCTGTTACAGTTGTGCGGCTTGGTCTTCTTGCAGGACTCCTAACAGAGGGATCAGTGGCTGTCTCTGACTCTGTTGCCTGCTTTTGCGACCCTTTCCTCCTACTGGGTTGCCTCAACAAGCCTTAATAGAAGAGGAGGTGTCTAGTCTTACTGCAACCTGATATGCCACAACTGGCTGAAACACATGGGAGGCCTGCTCTTTTCTGAAGAAAAAGGAGAAGCAGTGGATGGGGGGAGTATTGGAAGGAGAGAAGGGAGCAGAGGGAAACTGTGATCTGGCTGGGAAAAAAATTAATTAATATCAGGGTGTCTGTGGCTCCTCAGACATTCTAGCATGATTTTTTGTGTCCCCACCTCTCTATTCAGCTTCATATTCATCAAGATTCACACTACAGCCCAATCAGTTCATGTGTGCCTTCTCATGGTCTTCATTTTCCAACATCTGGACACCTGCCCAGACAGATCCCACCTCAGTCCTCCGCAGCGTCACAGCTGTGTAGGCATATGTCTCCTTCCCTGCCAGGATCTGTGCAATTTAGGGTTCACTGATCTCTTGCTTGCTGTCACTAGTTGGACCCAGATCCTCTGAACAGGGCTATAAGGGCAGAGAAGACTTTACCAGTCAACCTCCATGAAATAGGCAGTGCTAAGACTTACAACGGCTGGCCGGCGGTGGCGCATGCCTTTAATCCCAGCTCTCGGGAAGCAGAGGCAGGCGGATCTCTGTGAGTTCGAGGCCAGCCTGATCTACTAGAGCTAGTTCCAGGACAGGCTCCAAAGCTATAGAGAAACCTTGTCTCTAAAAACCAAAAGGAGAGAGAGAGAGAGAGAGAGAGAGAGAGAGAGAGAGAGAGAAGACTTATAAAACTATGTGGAAATGAGTTCGCACCTCCTTTAGCCTGTATACTGCGGTGTCTGGTGTAAAATGACCAGTCTTCATTTCTATGCACTTCTCGTGGAAGATTTCAACAGAGATTCTACTAAAGCACTAGGTCAGTCAAGACTTCAATATGCACAGCCACCCTCTTGACTCCATGCACTGAGATGCACAAACTCTGGTCCCACAACTAGCATCCTCCCAGAATATATCTACATCCTCATCACCTGGCGTGTGTGCCAAAACCACAGATGCCCCGGGCTGCACGATAGCATCTGCCTTCAGGAGTGAAGTCAAGGGACCTGAACAATTGTGTACTTCTCTACCCATCCAGGACTGAAGAGCACTGCTCCATTCTGGGGCTGCCCAGTCCATAGTGAGGCTTTTATGGAAAAATCATTAGACTTTGGGTCTAAATACTTTTCAATTTGTTTTGTTTTGAGGCAGGGTCTCACTGTGTAACTCTGACTGGCTTGAAACAGAATGGCCTTGAACTCACAGAGCTCCGCCCACTTCTGCCCCCTAGTGTTGGATGTATACCATTATATACAGCTCAAAATTCTTTAACAATGACTCTGCCATTTACTAGACTTGGGACCTTGGACAAGTTTTCTTCTCCTTAAAACAAAACTAAGACCAGGTGTGGGACCAACCTCAGGTCTGGTGGTGTGTTACCATGATGCTGTAAGCCCAGCATTCAGGAATCTGAGGCAGGACAGTTTCTAAGTTCTAAGTCAGAACACAAGACCCTGCTGTCAAGCCAGGCTGAGCTACATAGTAAGTACCCATCTCAGAAAACCAAGCAAATAAAAGATGCACAGAGCATGCTTCCTTAAATGGGACTAGAGCATTCAGTGGGGGAGATCAATGAGACATCTCTTTCTACTGTGGTCTGCCTGAAACGTACCACTTCAACTATGGATGCAGGCAGTAGTTAGCACTGCAACCCAGTTACCACAGAAAGCATGACAATTTTCCTCTTACATTGTACCCATTGCAGATATTGTTAGGTTTCAAATGTGGGTAAATGGCTGAGGTGCCTATTTAAGATCAAAGCAGGTGCTGCCAAGTGTTCCCAGAATCCCTCGGTCCCTACAAGTTACAGGATATGACTGGCATACCCTGCCCCCTACCCTTAACTCTCTAGCCCAGGGGCTGAGTTGCCCTCTCCCCAGAGGCTCTTCCCTATATAATCCAGACATTTTGGTTTTCAGCACTTTTGGTACCTTTGGCCTCCTGGCTGCTGCACCTGGTTCCCTTCTCCTTCCCCCTCCCTGCATGGCTCAGGGTAGTGACCACTCTGGAATCTCCCAGCTGTGTCCATCTCTGGCTACACTCTCCCTTTTATCTACAATAAACTTCCTCCTCCACCATACCAGGAGCACATGTCCTTACCTTTTTATTCTTTTTTTCATTCAGATATGTCTAAGTACATTTGACGGGCATCACTATTGTGAAAGTAAGGTAGTCACAAGACCTGCTGTTTTAATGCACTAATAAAGCTTCATGCATACAATTTAAGAAGCATTTTTGATTATTATATATTTTTCTCTTCACAAATGTTTGTGTATTTCAAGTACATAAAGAGGACTGGAGAGATGGATCATCAGCCTAAAGTCCTAGCTGCTCTTTCAGAGGATCCAGGTTCAATTCCCAGCCCCCACACATGATGGCTCACAACTGGCTGTAACTCTGGTTCTAGGGGATCTTATGTCCTCTTCTGACCTACGTGGTGGACAAGGCATCATGTGGCATAATACCATGCATACAAGCAAAAAACTTATACATAAAATAAAAATCAATATTTTTTAAAAGATAAAAATAGACATAGAAAAATGGGCACAATAAAATACAACTGTAGTTCTAGCAGTGAGGAGACAGAAGCAGGAGGACCAAGAATTCAAAGACACCCTTGTTAGGTTTCTGAGGCAACATTAAAAGACAGAAAGAGACCAGAGTTTGATCTTCATGCTGGAATTGTGTTCACTAGCACACAGCAAGGGGCAGTCTCCCTCCTGAGTGTAACTGAGGGGTCTTCCAGGGGGAAACACTGGCTGCCAGTCTTTACACGGGGGCAGGTAGCGAGGAAGGTGTTCCGGTCATAGTCTATGCGTCTCTCCTGCAGTCTCCCTCCTTCCTGAAAATGTTTGTCCAAAGAGAGACAGACCGTGTTGAGAGACAGTCTGTCTCTAGAGTCGTTCCTTTCTGTGCTGACCTGGGACTCCTGCTTCACCACTGAGGCACTCTGTCCGTCTCAGCTATTACAGAATTGAGTCCAGCCCAGTGTCTTCATCTAGGAGACAAACTCCAAGCCATCGATCGGCCCCTAATTCTTGGCAGCCAGGTGGGAAACAAAAACATGTCAGTAATCTGTCCTCCCGAAGTGGGCCAATGCATTCTCTTCCTGCTGGCACTTCAGCCTTAATCTCAGACTTCACAATCAAAAAACAAGCAAGGGATTCTAAGAGGCCAGAACTTGCCCTGGGCAGAAGAACCATCTAGTGACCACTCTGCCGTCAGCCTGTGTTGGGCTACTGGACCCTGAAAACCGAGAAAACAACTGAAAAACCTACCTTAAAATAGTGTATTTCCAAGTCATTGCCCTCTTGTAATATACTCAATAAACTAAAAATAATAATTATTTAAGGAGTATAGTAAATTTCAGATATTTCAGATAAGGGCCCAGCTTGGTGGTGCATGCCTTGAATCCCAACACTCAAGAAGCAGAGGCAGGGGAATCTCTGAGTTCAAGACCAATCTACACATACATGTACATATATATATATATATATATACATACATGTGTATATATATATATATACAGATAAATATACACATATACTTACTTAAAAATAAAATAAACCTTTGTTTAAAAGAATATAAAAGAGTCAAGCTGGGTGTGGTGGCACTCCTCTTTATCCCAGCATTCAGTTGGCAGAGGCAGGTGGATCTCTGTGAGTTCAAGGCCAATCTGTTCTATATAGTGAGTTCCAGGACAGCCAGGGCTATGTAGAGAGATCCTGCTTCAAACAGTACGACAACAAAAGAATATAATAATATTTTTAAATAGGAATAAAAATTTGGCCAATCAGTCATCGAAACACATGGCAAATTCTGGAAAATACGTACACACTAGAGGCACTGCTGTAAAAGTAAATTTATTTAAGAGAAAAACGTGTCCAAACTTCCCTTTTGCACAGTGCACAAACACTATGGGGACAATGTGTGGCTGTGAACAACACTCTATGGTTTGTTATGTTCCTAGGTCGTCCTAAGGCAAGTATGTGGCAGACCCTGGGCGTCCAGGCTCCGGGACTGAAGCAGGCTCTAATCTTCCTCCAGCAGACTGTCGGCCTTCAGCTGGGCCCTGCGTATACTCTCCAAGTTCAGCTGCTGATATTTCCTCTTGAAAAAGCCACACTGAAACAGCAAGGAGGAAGCCTCATGACAAACCCGAGGTGGCCACCTGCTTTAGAAACAGTCTTCAGACTGTGGCTAAACAGCTCCAGACTCCTGGCTTCTCTTTCCTCCCTCTGCCCTCCTCCGAGCTTTCTGGGCCCTCCCTGTACTTTCCTCAGTGCTGCCTGCATGGTGCTCATCCCACAAGGAGAGCTGACCTCCCAGGGCCCTCTGACCTGCCACAGCACTTAAATACCTTTAACTTAACTAACTGGGAGTCATGTCGGTGGATCTAATCCTCTTTTGGGGAACATGCCGAGGACGGCCCACCATGCTAAAGACAAAGATGGCACAGTCTCCTACAGGAGCTCAGGATGGGGGGCGGGGTGTGACACTGAGGTTTGATGACTGGAAGCCAGCACAGGGCATCCAGGAGCCTGGTTAAGCCTTCTGAGGAGCTGGGTGAAGGGTGAGAGGGTGGGAACTGGCGCTTGCAAGCGCCCCAACAGAGAGGCATGAACCTATTTAGGGAATGGGTCAACTGGTCTGGGGAAAAGAATCAAGACTTACAGGTGTGAGAGGCAGAGGTCAGGATGTGGAAGGCCTCAAACAACACCAAGAAAGTCTGGACTCTGGGGCAGGGAACGATAAAGGACTTTAAAAAACAGGTGACAATCTGATCTGTCTTAGGAACCTCTCTCTGTGCTCAAATACTTCAATTAGGCTTTTGTTTTTTCAGAAAGACACTGTCAGGTTCATCTGTCTAAACAAAGGAAAGAGCCCATAAGGTCAGGGTAGGTGCACTAGGTCTGAGTTGAGCTGTCCTCAAATGCACTGAAACCAGTACCAGAGCCCAGTGCCTTCTCCTTCTTACAAACAGGAGGAGTGGAACTGACCTTGACTAGAAGGGCTATGATCGCAACCAAGAGCAGGAGGCCTCCAACACTGCTGCCAATGATGACGGGCAAAGAGTAGAGCACCTCGTCTTTCAGGAAGATGACAGTGATCTGGGTAAAGAGACGGTCCGATAAGTCAGTAAATTACAAGGGAGGAAGAGAGTCCATGTTATTTTAAGGAGCAAGAGGTAAGGACTTGGTAGCAACCTGCATATTGATCAAGACTGATGAGGGGACGGCAAAAGCTGAGCGTCCCCTGACACAGCATTTTCCATCGCCTCAAACCAGCTTCTGATCACAGCACTTTACAAGAAACTAGTCTGGTCTCCGACCTGGATGAGCTAGGTCATCGGGGGATGTGCCCTTGTCCTAAGGGTGGTCTGCCAGTCTGAGAACACTCTCACAGCATCAAGATTCTACAGCAGCTGTGTCCTTCTGTGTCCTTGAGCCCTATGGACATTGTCTCCAAAGCAGTGACTTGTTTAAAGAGCTCCGAGTCCTCTTTAACTCAGATCTGACAGACGTTCTTAAACCTCACACAAACGCCTAAAGTCTCTGGTAATACATTTTCCTACAAGAAAGGTCTGGCAGGGGTTACTCTGTTCTTCACCAGGCCGAGTGCAGCCCTCGGGGACACCGTAAGTACAAAAGTGGGTCCATCCATGGCACTGCAGGGCTCTTCTGTTAGGAATCATCCCCACGAGGTGTTTTCCTAAGGATCTCTTCAGCTCAGGAGTCTTCTCTCACCCTGACAAGCTGAAAAGCTCTACGGATCCACTTCCTGACAGGAGCCTGGCCCTTCTGGGTAGTGGCCAGCACATGCTGCCAGGACACAGTTAAAGCCAGAGGTCATCATGACTCCCTGTGGTAAGGCACTGAGTTCCCTTCAGGCCAGTGCATAGCCACCAAGGTCAGGCATGCTTTGTTAGGATTTCCATACAGGGTAGGGAGTTACCCAACTCACCCTTGAGGCCTCTCCCAGCTAAAGACAGGCCCGCTGGACCACACTTAGCTACAAGTAAACTGAACTGGACGCACGAGCGTAAATTCTGACCTTGAGAGTAGGAAGGGAAACAGAGCACCAGAGCCAGAGTGGGGACAGGAACAGAGCTGTGATCTTAACAGAAGAGTGGAAGGTAAGGGGAGACAGGACTCTGGAACCTGGGCCGAGGAATGAAGGAGGCCCCAAGATACCAGGGGCACAACAGGTCTGACTGGAGCAAAACAGCACCGCTATTTCTCAAAGCCTTTTTCCTTTGCTCCCTTTGAAATACACAGGATCTCTCCAGAGTGGCTCAACGCTACCCCAGCAGGGGATAAGGAGGAAGCAGGACATAGGATGCCCCCTTGCTTGTGGCAAACATGGACAGTGGGTAGTTCAGTGGCCATCATGTCAACTGTCATTCTGGAGTCAGTCGTCAAAGCCAGTTAGGACAGACTGCCTCCTTTGTTGATGACTGGGAGGAGACTGAACCCACACTGACAGCTGAAGGAACCATTATTTTCAGCTGGTTCCTTTCTGTTAGGGTTAGATTCCAATGATATTACTGTTTGTGTGTGTGTTTGTTGAGACAGGGTTTCTCTGTGGAGCCCTGGCTGGCTGTCCCAGGACTCACTCTGTAGACCAGGCTGGCCTCACACTCAACCTGCTTGCCTCCTGCTCAGCACTGTAACAGACACGAATGTTGCATACTAGGAAGACATTGTTATGTACACAAAAATTTCTCATGTAGGAAATGTTTTAGCTATTTCCTAAATTATTTTCAAAATCAATTAATTTTTTAATTAAGTACACACTGTTGTTGATTCCTGTTTCACAGAAGAAAACGGAGGCAGAAGCTCAAGGTCACAAGGGCATTTCTGTAGCCAAGGTCAGAAATGACAACAGTTTCCCCAGAAGACTAATCAGAAAACAGCAGGAGTTACCTTCGTTCTGTGGTTCTCTGCATTCAGCCCCTCATACAGAGATTTGTTGAAAGCTATTTCACCAAGGATCTGCAGTTCAGTTACATCTTTTAGTAACTAGAAATTGGAAAAAGGTAAGGTGTGGAGGAACACAAAACATTTTAGACATGAACTCATTGTTTCAGGAGAGTTTCAACCATCTTTCCCTTCAAATATGTTCATTCTCCAGTATTCCGTTAGCCTCTGTAAAGGTCGCAGCCATCACACAGCTATCCAAGTCACAAGCCTGTAGTCATTCCCCAACTTCTTTTCCCTTACGCTTGACATCGTGCCACAACCCCCACCCAACATCAGCTTTGGACAGTTCATCTAAAACAGTCTGCCATCCATATGTCCCTTGTCCTCCATTCCCACGTCTACCTCAGTTGCGGTCACATTGCTCTCATCTGAAACACTGAACGATGCTAAGCCTGACTGTTCCCACTTCTTATCATAAGGCCTGTCTAGGAAAATAAAATTTGAGCAGTGCTATGCAAATTCCCAGTGGCCACAATGATATTAACAAGCTAAAAAAAAACAGAAATAACAGACTATCTGGGCATAAGGGAGAGACAGGTGAGAAAGGACAGACAGAGAGCAGATTCTTTGCTTGCCATGAAAGCAGTATGGATTTTAACCTAAGTGCATCCAACTCCAAAGTCCACTGCTTCTGTTTGTTGGGAGTTTCTGATTTTTGGTTTTTTTGTTTGTTTCAAGACAGGGTTTCTCTGTAGCTTTGGAGCCTGTCCTGGAACTAGCTTTGCAGACCAGGCTGGCCTCAAACTCACAGAGATCCACCTGCCTCTGCCTCCCAAGTGCTGGGATTAAAGGTGTGCACTACCACCGCCTGGCTTGATTTTTGTTTTTAAAGGAAGATAGCACAGTCTAGTGCTAACCGAAGAATTATACCGTTTTTTAAAATCATGTGCATATATGTGCACGTGTGCAGGTGAGTGTGGGTGTCCATGGAGACTAGAAGAGGGCATCAGATCCCCCCACAGCTGGAGTTATAGGCGGTTGTGAGCTGCCCAACTTGGAGGCCAGGAACCAAACCACATCTTTTGTAAGATTAGTACACGCTCTGATCCGTCTCTTCAGCTCTTTAAGAATTATTTTTGTATCGGTTAAGGGGAAAGCCAAGACAAAGAGAGCGTGCCCAAGGTTATGCAACAGGCCCCACAAAGAGGATGACCTGAATGACAACTACATCAGCAGAGACAGAGAAGGTGGGATGGCAGGGTTTGCTGCGAGGATACACATGGAGAAGTAGCAAAGAGGAGTCATGGAAATTCCTACATGTCAGTGTGGAAAAGGATTAATATACCTACTACTTGTACTTGCTACAAGCAGGTTGGGACAGAAAGTCAAACAAGCGATCTACTCTGGATGACACATTTCCAGATGCTATTATTCTTTCTAGAGAAGAGGCCCTAGAACTGAATGACCAAATCTGCAGAATTTTAGTGGTACCTGCTTAGCGTGGCCCAGGGAGATCTCCGCAGCCACAGTTACATTTTCTTTATTAGATGTGATAGCACAGATCACGGAATGCCACTCTTCCACATGCTGCAAAAGCAAAAAAGTGAGTTTGCTTACTCCCTTCTAGGGATATCTAGGATAGAGCATCTAAGGTCCCAGAGCAGACGTTGTGAGCAGTGTGGAGCAATCCCCTTCGCCCAAGCAAAGAGTCAGTCACCCTGGCAAACAGGACCAGTGAGGCTGAGAGTCTCAGAAAGAACTTTGCAGAAGCTGCGACCTGACCTCTGCGGTCACCCTGTTATGGGGCTCTCCACATCCCTTTCTCGGAGACCTCGCTCACCTGAACAGAATCGCTTCCACATGCGCGCTCTCGACTCTGCGTGCACTCAGTGTGGGCCTGAAACGAGATCCCTGCTTGAGCCGCCCTGAGCACTCTAGGTCGCGCTAGTCATCTGCCCCCTGGCGGCTTCGGGAAGTCCGGCGAGCTGCTCAGCCGAGAGCCGGCGCTAGGACCCGGCGGGCCGGCGGGCCGGCAGGCGCGCTCGCGGAGTCTCGCGGTGTTTCAGTTTGAACTTACAGGCGGGCACCCGCCATGGCAGCGTCTCTCCCGGCACCCGGGACCCGTTTCTTCCGAACGTACGCGGCGAGAGGCGTCCGGAGATCGCAGCGGCAGCCTAGCCGGCAGGCCGTGCCATGGTTCCAGCCGCCGGATCCGAAGCGCGCCTTCAGCAGCAGCAGCTTCAGCGGCAATGACCAGTCGTCTGCCACTTCTGACGACCCTGACGACCCGGACGACTCAGACTTCCCTGGCAGCCCCGTGAGGCTACGGCGCCGGCGTCCTCCCGGCCGCATCTCCCGGAACCAGAAGAGCTTGACAGCCACCCAGAGGCTGCGACCTCGGCCCCCGCATAAGTGCAGCACTCCGCGTGGCCTTCTGCAACCGCCACTCTTCCCCAACTGCAACCTGGGCTGTCTCAGCCCGGACCTCAGCGTGTGCAGCCAGTCCAAGGGCAGCAACGAGCTGGGCACCAGCGCCTCCCTATTCAGCTCTCCGGCCTCCCCCGGAGCCCCCGACTCTCCGGATGCAGCCTCTGCAGTCCCCAACGGCTTCCTCTTGCCGGAAGCCTTCCTGGAGGAGGAGGCATCGCTGCCCTGTCCCCAGGAAGGAGCAACAGATGGAGGCGTGCTCAACACGATGGCCCACCAAGCTGAAGCCGACTTCGGATCAGCTCTCTTAAGCCTTGTGGACTCGGGGACCACAGAAGATAACGAGTTTGGAACAGATGGAAATAATGTGGAGGAGTCGTGTCGTGAGACACTGCAGGTGGGAAACAGACTAAAGGGCTCGAGTCTAGCAAGAGAGAGAAGAAGGGCCACAGGTCAAAAGGTTGTGTCTCAAGGAGCCGAGCAGATGGACTGTGGAAAGGCCAGTAATTGCAAAGACTTTTGTGTACCCGGGCAAATCTGCAGGCCTAAGAGAACTGAACCACTCCGGAAGAGGAAACAGCAAGAAGCGATGGGAATCTCTGCCCTTTGCTACAACCAATCTAAGCAGAGAAGGAAAAATCCAGTCCCCTCCACGGACTTGAATAACATCAGGGAGACCTGTTCTTGGACCAAAACCAGAGCCTCCTTCAGCTTCCACAAGAAGAAAATCGTAGCTAATGTGTCAGAGGTATGCAGCAGTAGTCTTGCCGGTTCTCCCTCTAGGTCCCTCCTGTCCGAATGTTCAACTCCTCTTACCATGAACAGAACTGTTTCTTCCTGCCACTCCTCTTCTATGTATTTGCTAAGCCCCTTAAAGACCCTGCAGGTCACAGACAAAAAGTCATCTTATGCTGAAAAGGTTTATGGGGAATGTAATCAGGAAGGGCCTATCCCCTTTAATGATTGCCTTTCCACCGAAAAACTGGAACACTGTGAGAAGATTGGGGAAGGAGTGTTTGGAGAAGTGTTTCAAATAATTACTGATCAAACACCTGTTGCCCTAAAAGTCATTGCTATTGAAGGACCAGATTTAGTCAACGGGTCCCACCAAAAAACCTTTGAGGAGATCCTCCCAGAGATCATCATCTCCAAAGAGCTGAGCCTCTTGTCTGATGAGGTGTACAACCGCACAGAAGGCTTTATTGGGCTGAACTCAGTACACTGTGTCCAAGGGCCTTACCCTCCCTTACTGCTCAAAGCCTGGGACTACTATAACTCAATCAAAAAATCTGCAAATGACCGGCCTGACTTTTTCCAGGAAGACCAGCTCTTTATTATACTGGAATTTGAGTTTGGTGGGGTTGACTTGGAGCAAATGCAAACAAAGCTGTCCTCCCTGTCGACTGCGAAGAGCATTCTACACCAGGTCACCGCCTCCCTCGCTGTGGCAGAGGCATCGCTGCACTTTGAGCACCGGGACTTACACTGGGGGAATGTGCTCCTAAAGAAAACCAACCTCAAGGAGCTCCACTACACCCTCAATGGCAAGACGAGCACCATCCCCACCCACGGGCTACAAGTTAACATCATTGACTACACCCTGTCCCGCCTGGAGCGGGATGGCATTGTGGTTTTCTGTGATATCTCCGCCGAAGAGGACCTCTTTACAGGTGAGGGTGACTACCAGTTTGAGATCTACAGGCTCATGAGGAAGGAGAACAGGAACTGCTGGGGTGAGTATCACCCTTACAATAATGTGCTGTGGCTACATTACCTCACAGACAAGATTCTGAATCATATGCGCTTTAAGACTAAATGTCAGACCACGGCCATGAAACAAGTTAAGAAAAAACTGCAGCATTTCCACAGAACTGTCCTGAGTTTCGGCTCTGCCACTGACCTGCTCTGCCAACACAGTCTGTTCCAGTAAGCCGGTACTTAGTGCTCACATTGAGGACACTTGCAAAGCCACACTGAGTACACCTCCAACGCCTCTGTAACTTTTAAATCTCTGCCACTAGAGCAGGATGGAGGTAAAAGCCCATCTTTATGAGTTCCCGGTCAACTTTTTAAACGAAAATCTTGTTTTTAAAGGTAACCAAAATGTTTATCAACACGATTAAACTTGCTTTTAACAAGTGTTCTTAAAAATAAACTATATAGAGGACAAGTGTATACATCTTAAACGTCCTCTTTTTGTCAGCAGAGTCTGCAAACCTGATGTTGTCGTTTTTGAGCCTTGACACCTAGTGTAGGATGTGCAAAAACAAGTCAGAAAAGCCCAGCTCTCAGCTCTGGTCCTTCCTGCTCCTGATGCTGTTGTCAAGACTGGTGCAGGAACCAGACCTCAGATGAATTATTTACTGAATGCAAAAAGGATGTTGCAGAACAGAGCAAAAAAAGAAACTAGAGGGTCAAAATGGAGATGGGTATACACCAGCATAGGGGAAGTGTTTGTCAGATTCATTCTCCAATCACACAGAAACAGAAGCACAATTTATAGATTCTCAAAAAGGAAATAAATGGCTCTATGGTGCTGATGTTTGTATTTTTGCTTATTTTCATCAAAGAAAGGGAAATAGATGGCTTTAAGATCTTAATAATTCATTTTCCGCCTGACTTACTCCTAATACTTCCTCATAATTAAGTAGTCTTATCTTTTACTCCTAAAGTTCATGTTGGTTTGTTTGGGTTTTGTTTTTAAAATTTTAAATGCATATTGGTTTGTGTGCAGGTACGGGTTGAGAGGCAGAGGGACAAGTAGAAATCAGAGGACAACTTCAGGTATCATCCTCAGGAATGCCAGCCACCTTTGTGACAGTCATTCATAGGCCTGGAGTTCACTGATTCACCTAGATTTCTGGGCTAGTGAGTCTCAGGGATCCTTCACTTTCCTAGCAGTGAGATTACAAGCACATACCACCACCGCCAGCATTTTTACATGGATTGTGAGAATCAAATTTCGTGCTTATGAGGCAAATGCTTTACTGAGTTATTCTCCCAGCCCCTGTTTTTGTTTCTGTTGTCCTAATGTTTGAATCTAGGCCCTTGTGTAGGATAGCAAGCAGCCTTGTACTCAGCTGCACCCTCAGCCCTCTTTATGACAAGATCTCACTAAGTTGCTCAGAGTAGTCTTGAACTTATTCCATAACCAAGCTGGCTTAAATTTATGATTCCTCGCCTCATTCTCACAGATAGCTACAATTATAAGCCTGTGCTACCAGGCCTAGTTAAAGCTCTAGTTTTTATACCTTTGAGAATCTGTAGTCTCTGGAAAGAGATGGATCATGATAAAGAATCCTCGAAAAACCAGAAAAGCAAAAAAGCTGGGCAGTGGTGATACACACCTAGGCAGGCAGAGGAGTGAGTTCAAAGCCAGCCTGGTCTACAGAGCGAGTTCCAGGACAGCCAGGACTACACAGAGAAACCCCCTTGTCTTGGGGAGAAAAAAAAAATCCATTTCCCATTTAAATACCTGAGTCTTTGTTAGATTCTTCACTCTTACAATCCGGAAACCTTGTAATTTGATGGGGACACAAATTTGCAACTGGAATACAGCTCCAAAAAGATTTTCCCCATGTATCTGCCAAATAAAATGAGCAACAAATCAATGCTCAGTGACTTTATCAGCCTTAGGTGGACAGTAAGCACTATGTACTTACGTTAAAGAGGAATTCTTTGTGGTCGGAAGAGCTCTGGCTTGTGTTCATGTACATCACTGACGGTCTGCAATGAGAGGACATGCATGAGAACTTAAACTCCTTCCTGGCTCCAACTGGAAACACTAGGACAGATAGCGCCAGGTCTTTAAGAGGACTCAAGACTGAAGGTCAGAATGTTAAGTGCTTTGTAAGGCAGTTGGGACAAAAGAATATTTGCAAGCTATACAGTTGGACTCTGCTGAGTAACCTCCTTTCTTTTCTCTAACTTATGTGTTTATGTGTGGCAGTGCACTTGCTGTGGGTACACATGTGCAGGCCAGGTCAACAGCAAGTTCCCTACACTATCCACTTCAGTTCTTTTTTTTTTTTTAATATATTTATTTATTATGCATACAATATTCTGTCTGTGTGTATGTCTGCGGACCAGAAGAGGGCACCCGACCTCATTTCAGATGGTTTTGAGCCACCATGTGGTTGCTGGGAATTGAACTCAGTACCTTTGGAAGAGCAGGCAATGCTCTTAACCACTGAGCCATCTCTCCAGCCCCTTCCACTTCAGTTCTTGACAGTATCTCACTGAACCTGGGAGCTTGCTATTTCGGCTAGACTGACTGGCTGGTGAGCTGGAAGGATGCCTCTCTCACCCCACCCACCCTAGCACTGACTGACAGATGCCTGTCACACCACCTGACTTTTACATGGGTGCCGAGAACCTGAACTCGGTTCCTGATCTTACACAAGGAGAACAGCCATCTCCCCAGCCCTTCTCCAACCCCACAGTCCCTCCTTTTCAATAGCATCACAGCAGTTTCCTTTTGTAGCAGGACCAGTTGGCGCTGTGCTTTTGACAACCACTTTGGTGTTTTAAAAACCCAACATTTCATGAACATTATATGAAATATGGTGGACCCATATTTCATATAAAATACAGGCAGGCGCACTGGCCACTAAACAGATGCAACCCTGCCAAACAAGACAGCCGCCTGACAAAGGCCAGGATGTTGCTCCTTTCTCCTTTGTTAAAAATGTAGATCGCCTGGGGAGAGGTGTTTGCTAAAGCCAGTGACTAAGTTGCAGGTGTTTCCCTAGCCCTGCTCCCCCCCCTCCCCCGGAAAGAGAATATTAATGAGCTTCCACCTTGGTTTACCTGGGGGGATAAAAGATGTTTTATATAATAAACGCTGGTAGATCTTCAGGATGGATGAAGCCTGAGATGCCCTTCTGTGATGATGGTGTAAACTGTGTCTGGTTATTTCTCGCGCCTCCGTACTGGTCCAGATAGGGAAAGATAGTTTCTATGTTGGGGCCTACGGTCCCTGACACAACATGACACACGCAAGTGGTGTAAAGAAGCCCAAACTGCGGCTCCATGGGTAGAAAAGTAAAAGTTTATTCCAAACTGCCACGGCTGTCTCTAGCATTGCCTTCATAATGGTGATAGGCACCACAGGTGTCTTTTAATCTGAGAGCCAGATATCCCTTTTGCCAGTGGTAAGGGAAATGACTCCTGACAGAATGGAACCAGTTTCACAAGTCCTGAGGAATGCTAGCTTTTGTCTAACCATCAGAAATCCTATAGTCTAGGTTGAGCTGGGACTCAATTTTGGACAAGTCAGTGAGCCTTCCCTTTTTGTGTGTAGGAGGCTACCCTTTGAACCTGACAGTATCCTAGAGAGGCTGGGCACTAAGCAGCCTCCTCTCAGAGAAGGACAAGGCCCACATCCACCCTACTGGGCACTTCTGTCCACATGACAGAATCTCCAAAGCTGTCCTCATTGCGTGACCATCACACAGACACCTTGGGAGTACTTACCTGGAAAGAACTGCAATGAAGGCGTGCCTGAATTGAAGGCTGTGGGTCTCTCTGGCCAAAGACTTCTCATCAGAACTGGGAATAAAAATATCAATTGAGCACACAACTGCTTTGTTACCTTGACTTCCTAACAAACATCTCCAAGATGAATCTCTTAGATTTCACACTGAGAGAAATGTTGATTTTTAGAAGGATTTCTGAGCTTCCATGCTTGACATTTTGAGCCAAAGAATGACCTGTTATGGACTTGTCCTACACACTGAATAATAGTTATTAGCATCTGTCAATGAAGCCAGTATCACCTCCTAACTCATGGCAATCAAAATTAGTTCTAGAATGCTGAGCATGGTGGCACACACCTGTTATCCCAGCACTCAGGAGGCAGAGGCAGAAACAGGCAGATCTCTTGAGTTCAAGACCAGCCTGGTCTACAGAGCAAGTACCAGAACAGCCAGGGCTACAGAGAAATCCTGTCTTGAAAAAAACAAAACAAAAATCTTCAGACATTGCTTCAGGAGTAGAATTGCCCTTGTTTATCCCTCCCAGCACTGTACCCTGTTCTACCTTAGAGCATGGAGTCTGGCAGAGTTATGCCAGAGTTGAGAAAGCCAGAACTAGGACTCAGATTCAAAGCCCAGCCCACCAGAATGTACCTTAGTGTTCCTTTGTGTGAATTCGAATATCTTAAGTATCTTTGATGAGAGGAAACTTCTTTGGGTTCTGTTAGATACCCACTTTCTCCCAGAACAGCGAGAACCAGAGCACTCGGCACGGATATGATAAGATTTTTTCCCCCAAGGCCAGATCCTAAGTCTGCTAACACAGTCACTACTTACTTAGAGATGGTCACAGTGATGTCTGCTGTCCTGTTTGGAAAGATACTCTCCTCTAGCTGCCAAATCACCGAGACATTTGCCTGTTTTAAAGGAGGAAATAAGGCATAAGTAAATGGGGGAACTAGTCACTTGACACTGTTTCACACTGGCTGTGGTGAATTGAATAAGAATGGCCCCCATATGCTCAAATCCTTGAAAGCCAGGGAGTGGAAGTCTGACAGGATTGGAAGGATTTAGGTGTGTTTTTGTTGGAGGAAATACGTCTTTGGGGAGGTAGGGGGAGCTTTTGAGTCTTCAAAAGCCAAACCAGGCCAGTCTGCCTGGCATCAGGATGTAGCTCTTGGCTACTTCTCCAGCACCCTGCCTTCCTGCCACCATGAGGAAAATGACTAAGCCTCTGAAACTATAAGCACCCAATTAAATGCTTCCTTTTCTAAGAGTTGCCTTGGTCGCCTGGTCTCGTCACAGCACTAGAACAGTGACTACGTCAGCACTAGGAGACCCAGTTTTCATTCCTCATGGGTTTTTGTTGGTTTCTGTAGCACAGCCACTATTTCATGCAAGCTCACTATGCAAATGCCGAGTGAGCAAAACAGATGGGGCTACTCTCCTTCAAGTAAAGGAAACTACAGCCGAGTTTCTGCAAGATAATTTGGTTGGCTATTCCTTCCATACTACTCCCGCTTCTCTCTGCTTTCCTCGGAGAAGCCAACACCGGCCATGCTATACATCAGAAAACCATTTCCTACACCCCCACCGGTCTCCATTTCAGGGCAGGCTTAGCAGTTCTGAACGCTGCTATGTGGCGACCACAGCTGGAAGATGCAGATGCGGCTGGGAGCTCAAGGGTAGTGAGAAGAGCCACCTAATCACAACAGACTCACCGATGAACGCTTGAGTATGGGGTGACCAATCTTGCAGTTCATGACCAGGACAGAAGCAGCTGGCTTGGGGTCATCACACTGAATATCTGGAGAGAGCGGCTGTTAAAACAGAAGATGGGGGCTGGAGAGATGACTCAGCAGTTAAGAGCCCTGGCTGCTCTTCCAGAGGTCCTGAGTTCAATTCCCAGCAACCACATGGTGGCTCACAACTATCTGTAATGAGATCTGGCGCCCTCCTCTGTCGTGCGGGAATATATGGAGGCAGAATGTTGTATACATAATAAATAAATAAATCTTTAAAAAAAAAAACAGAAGATGTTTTGGTTTGGGTTTTAATTTTTATGTATTTTATGGGTAGGTATTTTTTGCCTGCATGTGTGTTTTGCTTGCAAGTGCATGCCTGGCTCCCTCAGAGGTCAGAAGAGGGCATCAGATTCCCCTGGAACTTGAGCTATAGATGCTTGTGAGCGTTTGGCTGGGGGCCTCACCCCAGCTCCTGGCACCCATTTTGGAATGTTGAGTGGAAAGCTCCATTTCAAGCTCCTCCACTGGGAATTGCCTCAGTCCAGATCCCACCTCTGAGAAAGCCCTCCAAACGGTGACCCCTCCCCAGGGAGGGTCAAGACCACTCCCACAGGCTATTTAAACTGTTCCCCGCCCCCCCAGAATGAACACGTGGTTCTTCCGGTTCTCCTTTCCCCCTCTGCGTGTTTTTCCCAGGGCCACCCGGGAGCGCTGGCATCCATTAAACCTGGGCTTCTTTTAATTCAGTTTGATTTGGTCTGATTGGATTATTGTGTCGGCGGAGAAGTTTGTCAGCAAGAAAAACTTTAACAGTGAGCTGTCATGTAGCTTCTGAGACTCAAACCCAGGTCCTATGGAAGAGCAGCTGGTGCTTTTAACTGAGTCATCTCTCCAGGAAACGGAGCAGTTTCTTCACACAAATTCAACAACCATTTGCTGATTTGTCTACATGTCAGACTTGGTCCCTGGCCTGCTCACAACTGAGGATCGAATTTAAATCCAAAGCCTAAGGGTAGTGTTCTGTGAGTGAGGCACTGTAGCAGTGGGGACCAGTTCCAATGACAGGACTGTATAAAGTCCTCACAGAGAGGAAGGCATTGGAACTGGGCTGTGGACCAGTGCGAGTGTCACACTGAGATGGGGGCTCAAACACTGCTACGTGGCCTTCTAGCTAAGGCTCCTCATCCAGATTTCCAAACACAGCCACTCTCCCCCAGCGGGCCCATCGCTACTTCTACCATCACCCATTCCATCCTACATATATAGAAAATAATGTCAACTTTTCACAATAAATTCTAACTTAGCCCAAGCAAATTGAGGCCCCACCCCACCCCCTGGGAAAACCTATAGTCCCAACAGAGTCAAGTTTTTGTTTTGTTTTGTTTTGTTTTTTGTTTGTTTTTCGAAATAGGTATCTCTGTGTAATAGTTCGGGCTGTCCTGGAACTCGCTTTGTAGACCAGGCTAGCCTCAAGCTCACTGAAATCCACCTGCCTCTGCCTCCCAAGTGCTGGGATTAAAGGCATGCGCCACCACCGCCCAGCTCCACACTCAAGTTTTACTGACTCACTACAATGAGAACTGTCTCATGGAGTGTCTTCTCTCAACAAAAGAAAATTCTGAGTTGTCAGAGGGTTGGGGTAGGTGGGGTTAAGGAAAAAGGCAGATGAAGCAGTCCAGAGAGCTGCACAGCAGGGCAGAGGAAAGGGGCAGGTGGTGCCAGGGGCAGCAGGCTCCCAGTTGGGTTAGCATACACTACAAGAGGAAAGCAGTGTCCAGAAGCACTGTATCTGCAACTCTGTGCCTTAGATGGACACTGAATCTACGTCACTCTGTCCAGGTGACTTAGATTCCCCAGACAAGAGAGGGGTGGTTTCCTAGTTCCCAAAAGAACTTCAAACAGCAGAGTTTCTGACCATTTTTGAATTAAGAGAACAGAACATTTCAGGGTCGTGACACTTGGCAGTCACATGCTTTCAAGCCCATCTTTGCAGCTGGTCTTGTGTCTGGTGAATAGTTGGGTACAATTTTCACTTCTTTGATTCCTTAGGCATTAGCATTTATCTCTCGCAATCCTGGTAAAGGAAGACTATACACAAGGAGGGGTGATCATGTGGTACCACTGAAGGTTTTTGGGGCCCAGAATTGGAGAGGATTTGTCTAATTGCAATTCTTATACTGGCTGGAGCAGAAGGAGGTTGGTGGCAATGGCAGAGAAGCAGGTGGGCAACAAGGAAAAGGCATGGCAGCATGCTTCCCAAGCCTCTGCGTCACAGGTACCTTTTGTATTCTCTTAAACTGTAAGTTTTTGGGATAATTCAGAGCCATGTTTGTCATGTAGGAGTCTTCCCCGGAGTTAGTCAGGTTGATGTTCATGGTCAGCTCCTTTGTGACACCCACCACCAGTTCCTGCCTGCAAAGGGTGGAGAGAGAGAGAGAGACAGAGACAGAGAGAGGGGGGGGGGGGGGGGTATCCCACATCAGCAGTACATTTAATCTAGAAAACGTCCTGCACTACAGAAAAGCACATTCTTAACTATCCTCCAAGATAAACTCCAAAAAGACCCAGATTTTCTGACCCCTGGCTGCATGTCCGCCTTTACAGCTTCATCACTAAGCAATTTGCAAGGTTATAACCACTTACTTAGTGGTTACCATGTAGCAAACTCCATGACCCATGAGCTCAATTGATCCTCAGAATTATTCTAGAAAGTAGTATAGTTACTTTGTATCTTGCAGAACAAAAAATGGAAGTCAAAAGACTAGAAGCCTCTATCACTGAGATGTATCTCGAGCTCATTTTAGTCATTCGGCTAGTTTTTAAAACAGAGTTTCTTCCTGTTGCTTAGGCTGGTTGGTCTGTCACTATGTATCCCAGCTGGCCTTGCAATCCTCCTGCCTCAGCCAACCTGTGCTGAGATTACAGATATGAGCCACAGTGCTTGCCGATGTTTGTTTTTTGTTTTTTTTTTGTTGTTGTTGTTGTTTTTTGAGGCAGAGTCTTACTTTGTAGTCTATGCATCTAGAGTCTACTTCTCATTTGATTTTGTAAAAGTCAAGTCCCACTGCAGCAGTGGAGTTTCTCAGGAGCAGCTTGACGGCTATGGACGCTAGGGGGAGATACAGGGCAAGCTGAGCACACCGCATCACCCTGAGGAACTGGCTGGGTAGCGGATCTTGGCTGTAATTCAGTCCCTGTTGACAGCAGCTGTGCCTTGAATGAGTCCCTTAGTGCTGGCCCCACATAATCATGCACACCTAAAATGGAAGTTTTACAAACATCCACTCAAGGACAGAGACTCTGCCCCAGAGAAACCAACTCCAGACAACCGGCCATCAGCAACATGACACACGTGGTAGCCATTGAGGGCTTTTTATTTTTATTTATTTATTTATTTTGATTTTCGAGACAGGGTTTCTCTGTAGGTTTTGGAGCCTGTCCTGGAACTAGCTCTTGTAGACCAGGCTAGCCTCGAACTCACAGAGATCCACCTGACTCTGCCTCCCAAGTGCTGGGATGAAAGGTGTGTGTCACCACCGCCCAGCTTGAGGGCATTTTTAAGATTGCCCCATTTCCCAAACCACACTCATCTTAGCTTCAGTAACCCCATCATGGAGCTGAACTTTTAGTGAATTCTGAATGATGCAATAAAACATCAGCAATGATGGAAGATGGTCTGCATCCGTGTGGATATTCAATATGATGAAATACAGCAGGTGCCATTAAAGAGCTATGTTTGTCTTACATTTTATTTTATGTATATGGGTGGGTTTGCCTGCAGAAAGTCTGTGCACCACATACATGCAGTGCCCTAGGAGGCCAGAAGAGGGCTCCCAGAACTGAAGTTACAGACTGTTGTGAGCCACCATGTAGTTGCTAGGAATTAAGTCTGGGTCCTCTGGAAAGGACAGTCAGGGTTCTTAACCACTAGACCATCTCTCTATCCCTGTAACTACATTTTCTTAATTTTTTTTAAAGTGTCCTTTAAAAAATAAAAAGATTTATTTATTTATTATACATAGTGTTCTGTCTGCATATTTGCCTGCAGGCCAGAAGAGGGTACCAAATCTCATTATAGATGGTTGTGAGCCACCATGTAGTTGCTGGAATTGAACTCAGGACCTATGGAAGGGCAGTCAATGTTTTAACCTCTGAGCTATCTCTCCAGTCCTACATTTTTTTTCTTTAAAAATTAATTTAAATGTAGGGGGCCTTAGAATTAAACTAGTGGTGACTGTATTGGATTATGTGATTCTAGATGCCTAGACTGGGCCCTCTCCTTGCTCCCTCCCTCCACTCTAACTTCAGAAGATATCACTGTCTGCCTCCAGCCAGTCAGAGCCACCACCCTCTTACCTGCACCTTCATTGTCAGAGTAGTAATTACTACCTCCCTACTTCCTACAATCTGTCATTGTCTAGCACAATGGTTCTCAGCCTGTGGGCTACGACCCCTTTGAGGATCAAACAACCTTTTCACAGGGGTCACCTAAGACCATCAGAAAAAAACAGATATTTACATTACGATTCACAATAGTAGCAAAATTACAGTTATGAAGTAGCAATGAAAATAATTGTGTGGTTGGGGTCACCACAACATGAGGAACTGTATTACAGGGTTGCAGCATCAGGAAGGTTAAGAACCACTGCTCTAGCAAGAGCTAGACTCTTAAAATGTGAGCCCACCTTGCTCCTCTGGCCTGCCAGCTCACATGCAAGGCCCTTCTATGGTCCCATGAAATCCTCTTAAACTTTTCTCCACTTCTCTCCATGTTACTCCCCCTCCCTCTTACACTTTTGCATTCACATGGAGCCCATGCTCTACCCTTCACCTGTCAGAGCTGCTTCCATCAGGGTATTTGCTCTACCGTCAGACACCACATGAACGGTACCCACCCCCTCCTGTCACCCTCCCTGACCACCCTACTTAAAACCTCACCCCTTCCCTGCACGTACCTTTGCGCCACATCCCATCTACCCAGAGTTTACTTATCTATTACTTTCCCTTTAAGTACCAGGAGGGCAAGGATTTTTGTCTGTACCTTTCACTGAGGTGAAACTAGAACTCCTGGAACAGAGTAAAACTACTCCAGAACTACTTGATTAATTCATTCATGAATCTTGCCAAGAGGCAAACCAGAGGAAGTTCTAGGAGTGAGGCTCACTGTGAACATAGCATTGTTCAGGGGATCAAGAGACCTGGGTTCAGGTTCACCAAGTGCATCAACTTCAACTATTTCCTGATCTATAATATGGGAAGATGAATTTTTATCTTTCCTCCCTTACAGGGTGGCTGAAATACCAAATACAAAATCCTGTTGAGGGCAGGCCATGAGGGAAAGAGGAAAGGAGTGTGCACACATGCATCTGAGTAAGGGACTTTCCCAGGTGAACCCTCCGGAGGACATCACCTACAGAAATGATGCTGATGATAGCAAGATTCAACTCACTGAGAAATGGCGGTGGCCAGCTGGATCTCAGCAATGCAGAACACTTTGTTCTTGCAGTCCTTATCATAGGGCAGCTGTCACCAGACAAAGACGAGCAGAGTTAGCCCTGGGACCTTACCTTTCCAACGACCCTGACTCCCACCTTCTCCTTGGGGGTACTTCTGCCCATCATGTTCTCCTGCTTGAAGAAGCATGGCTTGAAGAGAGTGATGGCTGACAGCTGGGACTGTGCCCGCATGGCCAAAAGGGCTGTGTGTGCGACATTCCTAGACAATGCGGGCACACTGCGATCCAGGCCTTTAGCCAAGCTCAAATGTGGGATGACATTTGCGGGATGAGAGGCACGCTGTCGTGTTTGTAGTGTGTGTGTCCCTCTGCCTCCAACATCTGGGAGGACAAACCTTGGTGAAGCAAAGCTTCCTTAGGCCTTTGGAGTGTAGGCCGAAACAGTGGGGGCAGGAACAGGAACTGACCAAATACTATAGGTGAATCCTTGCCAACACCCTCCCCCACTGTGGGTAAGTCTCCTGGGTAAGTTAGCTACTTCTTTTGTAATTCTGCATACACATTGCAACTAAATCAAAGTCACATCTGCTTGTAACCCTAGAACTAGGGATACTGTAGCATCATGGTGAGTTTGAGGCCTGGGCTACCCAGCAAGACTACACAGAGAAAAAGAAAAAGAGGCACATTTGGTTCAGAAGCTCTCTTCAAGATTGAAAAATCTCAATTTGAGTTGAAAAAAAAAAACCCAAGTGTTCTAACATAGCCAAGTGTAGTTTTTTGCAGTGAAGGAAGCAGCCAACCCCCCCACCCCCATCTCCCCACATCCCCACCCACCCACCCCAACCCCTCCACCTCCTAGGAACTGTCTCTAGCTCCCCAGCTGCTGGAGATCCCTGCAACAGCTTTCTGCAGGGAGAGCATCATGGGCCGGACTTGGAGTGGGAGCCCAGAGCTTGAAAGGAGACCATGCATTTGCCAGAAAAGAAAGGTGCAATTTGCAAGTCACAGTGTGGCGCTCTCTCTAACTGGATCAACAAATCTGTACTGTCTTATTTGTGTTTGTTCTGGTGCTCAGCTTGAAACCTAGGGCCCACACTCAGGTCCTGTTTTTTACATTTAAATTTTATTTATCTTTACTGTATGTCGTATACAATCCATGTGTGAGAGTGTAGGCACATGCATGCCACAGTGCCCTGTGAATATCAGAAGACAGCTTTCAAACATCATTTCTCTCCCTCTGCCCAGGGGTCAGTGAACTGAACATGGACTGTCACATATCCTAGACCTAGGGCACCTACATTCTCCATCTAACCCTGATGAAAGACGACAGGGTTAGCCCATCTTAGCTCCCAACTGCAACTCATCTCTTCTAACATCTGTGTACCTACAGCACCTACCCTTTCCTCATCCCTTTTATTGATGGAATAAATATTTTAAAACCTCTTCCCCAAACCATCACAGTAATAATCGACAATGACTTACATTGTTAAGCACAAAATGTACATCTCAAATTTTCTTCCTAAAATACTCAGTTATAAAGAGGAATGGGGCCAGGCAGTGTTGGTGCATACTTTTTAATCCCAGCACTTGGGAGGCAGAGGCAGAGGATCTCTGTGACTTCAAGGCCAATCTGGTTACAGAGTGAGTTCCAGGACAGGCTCCAATGCTACACAGAGAAACCCTGTCTTGAAAACCTTCCCCACCCCAAGGCGGGGAGGATGGGAGCATGAATAGTACAATCAAGGCTGTGATGCACCTTCCAAAACACACAGCCTGGATCTAACTATGAGGCTACAAAATGACTGCCCTACATCCTCCAAGCTGTGAGGGTCCTTAGAGACAGAAAAACAAAAGCTGGGTCTGGTGTTGAATACCTGCAGTCCTAGCTTGGAAGGCAGAAGGTCATCCTTGGCTATATAGGGAGTTCAAGGCTAGCCTGAACTATGAGACCTACTCGCAAAATAAAAATAAAGACGTCTGGAGAGATGGCTGAACAGTTAAGAGCATGAGCTACTCTTCCAGAGGTCCTGGATTCAATTCCCAGTATCCACATGGCGGCTCACAACCATCTATAATGGAATCTGATTCCCTCTTCTGGTATGCATGGAGATAGAGCACTCACATGTATTTAAACACATAAATACATAAATCTTTGCTAGGCGGTGGTGGCGCACACCTTTAATATCAGCACTCGGGAAGCAGAGGCAGGCAGATAGTTTGAGGCCGGCCTGATCTACAGAGTGAGTTCCAGGACATTTAGAGCTACACAGGAGAAACCCTGTCTTGAAAAACCAAAATAAATAAATAAATAAACATAAAAATAAAGACAAGAAAAGACATAAGTCAATAATTCTAGATTAGAAGTGACTAAGATAAATGACAATGAAAGACCCTAGATTTAATTATTTTAATTTATTATTGATTGATCAATTGATTGATTGATAAAGGGTCTCACTGTCCAGCCATGGAAGACCTTGAAGTTTTGCTTTTCTTGCCTCTATCTCTTAAATTCTGGGATTACAGTCAGGGGCTGCAGGAGGCCTAGTTTTACTGAGCGCTAGGAGTGGAACATAGGACTCCACATATCCTAGACAAGCATCCTGCCAGCTGAGCTACATCCCCAGAACTTTTTTTCTTTTGCTAAACAGCAAGTTACTAGCAAGTTACATAGCAAGTCAGACAAACTATGAATAAACTTGTACAGTAGATAGCAGTGTTCCTTCAGTATTAAACTGAATTTATCCGTTATGCTGTGGCAGAGAATAGCCCTGTGTTTAGGAAGTATATACTGAGCACGGGGATGAAGAGTATCAGATTTGCAACTTATTCTCAAACGAGAATTCTTTGGATTTTTTTCCTTTTAGAAGGGTCCAGCTATGTTGCTCTGGGCGGCTTGGAACTTGCTGTGTAGAACCGACTGGCTTCCACCTCACAGAGCTCTGCCTTCAGTCTGTGCTCCCTGAATGCTGCAGTTAAAGAAGCGTGCCCCCATACCCACCCCAGCTACTACTTTTAATATTCTTTCTTTCACTTCTTTATCCCTCATGATTCCTCTCTACTCTGTAAATGGAGATTGGCAGAGGACCATAGGAGCCACAACCTGGATAAGGGCTAAGTCACCTTAGGTACGAGAGGATTAGAAAATCTAGCTCTTATATCTTTCCTTAGTCATGAGAAAGTTTCTGTGACACTCCCTGCCTGCCTCAGCTACACTGATGGGCACCAGGGTAGAGGTAGGTGCGGGCTTGGTGAGCCAGACACCTCAGCATGAAGGCTCTGAGCAGAGCCTGAGCAAGCAGGTGTATCCAAGAACCTCCTCCCTGCGTCTCAGGGCAGGACAGCTCCAGTGCAGCACCCGCAAGGGACCCACCACCATCCTCAGATATCATGCAAAGAGAGCCCCAGTACACTGCATACCCACGTGTGTCACTAAGCATGTAGGGAGCACACTGTGTGAATAAGCCAAGGGCAACAGCTAGAGACTTGCTACCCACCAGTGAGCACTGAGCAGCAACCATCTAAAGGGTCCCCAGGCCCCACTGACAGTCTGATGACCCTCCCTCCCAACTCTAGCCATCTTTGAAGTAAGGTGAGCAAGTATTCAATGTGGGATGTTCCCCAAGAAAGTCGGGTCCTTCCTGTGGAAAGAGTCACCTGGAAGATGGCGGAGGGGTCCTTGTAGTGGTCCAGGATGGGGTTGGGGTGGTCCTTCCTTCCTTCAGCTTCCTGGAACTCGTAGCTGACCTCGATGGTGATGTTGGAAAAGCAGTCCCCCTCACAAAACTGTGGATGACCGAGGAAGGCAAGATCAGAGGGAAATGTGAAGAGGACATGAAGAAATGAACAGTGACAGCAACGACCAGGAAGTCTTCCAAAGGATCCAGGCCCTCAAGTAAGCCACCAGGAGCTTCGGAAGTTTCCCCAGTCTGCCCCACCCTCAGGTCTTGGGAATCTTTGAGGTTCTCACCCCGGTCACAAAGGCTTAGACCTTGTGTGGTGGGCAAACAGGAGTCATGGAGGGCAGAGGTGTGGTCACATGTGAGATAACAAAGATCTCCAGCCACCATGGAAGGATGTTGAAGAGTGAAGCCTGAAAACAGGAGGCGGTGGAGGAGGCCATTTGCTAGGCTCTGCTTACAGGAATAAGAGCATGGAGGGCTGGCGAGAAGGTTTGGTGTGGAAAGGTGTTGCTGCCGAGCCTGACGACCTGAGATTAACTTCCAGCACCCACATGATAGAAGGGAGGACTGACTCCCACAGGTTGTGCTCTGGCCTTCATGTATACATTGTGGAATACATAAATAGACAAATAAATAAAAAACGTTTTGAACATGAAAGCAAGTGAATTTGATTCCCTAGTAAAAATACAGTTAGGCTTTTATTTCTAAGAGGTATCGTATTCCTTTAATTATGCATATGTGTGGGGATATGTGCACAGAGTGCAGGTGCCTAAAGAGGCCAGAGACATTGGATCCCATGGTGCTGGATTCACAAGTCCCCCAGGGTGGTGCTGGGAACCAATTTCAGGTCCTCTAGGTGAACTCCTAACCACTGAGCCATCTCTCCGGCTCTTTGCCTTTATTTTTAGAGGATTATAGATGTTCTAGAAACTTCCTAAGTCAAGTAACAATTAAAGGTGCATTCAAAGCAGAATTCATAAGCTTGTTTTCTGAAACAAATGGTCCATATAGTTCAAAGTTCTAAGACCTATTAGAATCTGAGTTATGTCAAGGCCACTTTTTAAAAACCATACTTCTCAATATCTTTGCCAAGATTTCTTTTTAAATAATTGGGGGGGGGGTTTGAGACAGGGTAATGGCTTTGGCTATTGTGGAACTTGCTTTCTAAACCAGGCTGGCCTCCAACTCACAGAGATCCATCTGCCTCTGCCTCTGCCTCTACCTCCTGAGTGTTGGGATTAAAGGTGTGCACCACCACTTCCCAGCTAAATAATGTTTTAAAATAACTTATTCTTTCTAGTTCTGCCTTTTAAAAATATTTATTTATTTATTTATTTATTTATTCCTTTGCCTGGGTGTATGTTTGTGTATCATGTGAGTTCCTCGTGCCCTTGGAAGTCATTAGAAGGCATTGGAGCCCCCAGAACTGGAGTTACAGATGGTTGTAAGTCACTATGTGGGTGCTGGGAGTCAAACCCAGATCCTCTGGAAAAGCAGTCGGTACTCTTAACCACTGAGCCATCTCTCCAGCCCTCTAGTTCTGCCTTTTAATCATACAGTTTTCCTGATGTGGATCCACACAGGGCCCTTCAGCCTACTATTACTGTCAGGTAAGATGAGACAACACAATGAAACCATTCCCCTCTTTGTCCAGCCACTAGAAAGCTCAGTAACGCCATCCGCGTTCAGTTTTGGTAGGCGCCCTCCCTCTCTCTGCTCTTCCTCCCTTCTCCCTTGGCACTTTCCTTCCCAGTGGACCAAGCACAGGGGCTCACACACGCAATGCTTACAAAGCACTCACTGTGTGCCTGAGCCGCGCCCACAGCCCACGCCGCTTTGGTTTGGATTTCTGGTAGGCTTATTTTTCCAGTGTCACTTTGTGGTTCTTGATGTGTTGTAGTTGTTTCGGTCGCCTCATTTGTCTGCGTGGAAAGGGGCCTGCGTGGCACATATCTTTTCTGGGATGCTGTCTAAATTCTCTACTTACCTCCTGCTCTATGGGGATGAGCCAGAGGTGCTCACACAGAAAGGACTCCCCACTCCACTTTCTAAGGCGGCTCTGACAACTGCTTGTGTCTGCACACTGCAGCCTCTTCCTCGGCTTGGTCACATCCACATCCACCGTGAAGTTGAGTGACATCTCTCCAAGGCCTAGGGTTGAAGACCAGACTTTCTGATGAGGCTGGAAAGGTCACTGCCCAGACAAAGAGCCCCAGCCTGTTGAGGCTGTGGAAGCCCCTGCTGAAGAATCACTATGTGGTCTGTGGGCACTTCCTTGGGGCCAGCCTCCCAGACTTTGCTTTGTTGAGACAAAGTGTCGCTATATACCCCTTGACCTGGAACTTAGTTTATAGATCAAACTTGACTTGAATTGACAGCGAGCCACCTACCTCTGCCTTCTAAGTGCTGATATGAATGCCTAGCTATTCATCATCATTTTGAAGGTGATTTCCATCCCACCCCATTACTTCTGGTAGACCTGACCAGAACCTGAACCAGCACATTCCTGGATTGAGTCCAACCTTAGGGAAAGAGAGTTTAGGCAGGTGTGCTGGCTAGCTTCATGTCAACTTGACACAAGCTAGAGTCCTTTGGAATAAGGAACCTAGTAGAGAAAATGTCCCCACTAGACTGGCTTGTGGGCAAGGTTGTGGTGCATTTTCTCGATTGATGATTAACGCGGAAGGGCCCAGCTCACTGTGAGCAGTGATGCCCCCGGGCTGGCGGTCCTGGGTGCTATTATAAGAAAGCAGGCTGAGCAAGGCATGAGGACCAAGCCAGTAAGCAACCTCCCTCCACAGCCTCTGCTTCCAGGTCTCTGCTTTAACTTCCTGCCCTGAATTTCCTTGGACAATGAACTGCAAATTGTAAACTGAAAGATTCTCTTTTTTCTCCAAGTTGCTTTTGGTCGTGGTATTTCTATCACAGCAATAAGAACCCCTAATTGCTGGGCAGTGGTGGCACACGTCTTTAATCCCAGCACTCTGGAGGCAGAGGCAGGCAGATCTCTGTGAGTTCAAGGCCAGCCTGGTCTACAAGAGCTAGTTCCAGGACAGGCTCTAATTGAGCTACAGAGAAACCCTGTCTTGAAAAAACAAAAACAAAAAAGCAAAAACCAAAAAACAAACAAACAAAAACTCTAACAAAGAAACTAGGAGAATGTGGAAGGGGGTGAGGAAAGGAGGGATGGAGAAAAAGGGAGAAGAGGAGGAGGAAGGGGAGAGGGGGAAGGGCACAGTAAGCAGACAGTGAAATCATGAAAATCGAGCACAGCAGGACTGGAAACATCCTGGAGATTGCCTGGGCCAAGTCCGTTACTGACTACAATCTCAGTTTATCTGCCTCTGGCTGGGGGGCGAGGCATACTCATACCCAGACTAAAGACACAGGGGCCAGGCTACAGGAGAGGGACCAGGACCAACCCTACAAGCCAATCAGGAATGACTGCAACACCAAGGCACCCCACCAGGCAGCCATTACCTGGCTTGGAGGTTGTACTTGAGGAGCCAACTTCAAAACACAGTTCTACAGCCATCTTGTCATTGAAAACCATGGGCAGTGCAGCGGGGGTAAAGGTCATAGACACTGTCAGGTCAACCACAGGTCGTGAGCTAAAGGTAACAAAGAGGCTGGTGAGAAGTGAGCACAGATTCTGCCGTATTCAACATTTCCAACATGCAAGGGAGCACTGAGTCCTTAACAGTAGGGAAAGAGATAAGACTTTGCTCTTGTGGGGAAGCAGACAGCTGCCAACAAACAGGAATAGAGACACACACAGTGCTGGTGATGCTATAATAGGATAAGGGAACAGATATGGAGGCTACTTAGACCAGGTGCTCAAAATGCACTCCTGATAAGGAGGCCTTGAAAGTGAAAGCAAAGGCTTAATGAACAAGAAAAAGCCAGCAGTGTGAAGGTCTGAGGAAACATTCCAGGCAGAAAACAAAACACAGCAGGATGAGGCTGGTTTATTTGAGAAACAAAAAGGACAGAGAGACCTGAACCTGAGGAGCCAAACAAGACTGTGGTGACAAGAGCTGAGGACTGGAGGGTGGGGAGGGCCATTCACAGACAGCAATCGTGGTGACTGGGAGGTGTTTTTGGAGCTGAAGTCAACGAAAACGTGATAGACAGGGTGCTGAGGACGAAGAGGAAGCCCCCAGAGAGCTTTTGTCCTCTGTAGCCCAGAGGACCTTGAGCTGGCGCCCTATCTGCCTCAGCCTCCCACGTAGCTGAGATTACAGGCCCAAGCCAACAGGCCCGGTCCCAGAATGTAATCCTCACTCTCTAAGTGGGTGACCGTACCATTTGCTGAAACAGGAGCCTGGGGGAGGGCAGGCGGACTGGGGATTGGAAGGTGGGAGGAGTAGGCGCTCCATTTGGAGACCTGTTGGCTTGGAGGCGGCAGTGAGCAGAGGACAGGTGTGGGACTCTGTGGTTGCCCACGTGTGACTCAGTTTCCATATGGAGTCATTTCTGGCTTAAAGAAGTCATTTGAGTTCGAGCTTGCTTGCCTGCTCTGCTTTTTCCAGTAACCTTGAAGGCTGTGAGAAAGTTCTGATTAAGCCCTGAAGCCCATGGGAAAGAGCATTTTTGCCCAGTTGAAAAAGAATATTTCTCTAAGATTTGGGCTGGTGTATGCCAGCCAGAGGCACTCCTCATTAGAGATTAGAAGCTGCTTAGCTGAATAAGATAATGCACCTGCTTGAGCTCCTCCAGAGGACAGTGCAGGGAGGCGGTCAGCTGCTGTGCTGCTCTTTGTTCTGCCTGTAGTGTACATGCTGCCTGAGGAACATACTCGGGGCTGTTTGGTATTGACCTCCAGTCCTATGGGACTATCCTATATTTCTGTCTTCATTTCTCTTAATCTAACTTTTCCTTAGCCTCAGTGCCCCCTCCCAGGGAACGCCCACCTGATTTCTGCCAGAGGGGGCTCCAATGGGATTCTCCAGGGGCTCTAGCCAAGGGACTGGAAATTGCCTGAAGGCAGAGTCCAGGGGCTCTGGAATTCACAGCACGCTGCCCCCACCCCCAGCATTGTGCTATCTACATTTTGTCTTTTCCTCCCATCCCGTGAGGCAGGCACTGTCATTATTCTCAAATTGTAGAAAAGAAAGTTGGGACTTAGAACTCAGTAGCCCACTCAAAGTCATACTGTTGAGAACTGAGGAGCAAACTTACCCAGGTGGACCCAGAAGCTGTGCCCTTTCCCCATACTTTCTCCCTCCCTTAGTGCTTGGAATCTGCAGGACCCACTGAGTAAGGCTAGGGCTTGAGTCACAAGAAGTCAGGGGAGACCCATACCGAAGCACAGCTGCCCGGTCCCAAGAGCCCACCGTGATGTCAGCAAGGCCATCGCCATTGCAATCTGAGCCACCGGCCACAGACATGCCAAAGTAGTGGAGTCCCGAAGCCACAGAGGAGGCTCTGATCCGCTATGGGAAGAGAAAGAGAAACTTGGTCTTCTATTTCCTTTAACAGCATGACCTGCCTCCCCATCCTGACCCTGAACTGTCTCTGAGGAAGTGATATCAGGGTGGAACCCTAAAGGGTAGGTGGGACTTAAGAGGGGGAGGGAGGCAGAGCCCAAGAGCAGAGTGCTCTGAGAACACAGCCAAGGCTCAGTGCAGGAGTCGGGTGGGGTAAAAGGATGTGGGTGCAAGGAGGCTTGATGTGGGCTGGGCTGGCAGCATCAGGAAAGGTTCTGTGGAAGAGTAACTTCTTCAGGGCCGCAGTTTATAAGCACAGGGAGAAGATGGGCTGGAGGCGGGAGTTGGGGTAGGGAGGGATAGAAGGTCTAAGCTGATGCCATGGTGTGTGTGTGGGGGGGGGATGTGGTGGCTGACAGGCTATGCATCGGGTAGCAAGGTGCTGGGGGATTACCCTGGGCGCCTGGTGTGTGGAGAAGAGGGGGATGGGCACGCAGAAGCGTCAGTTTTCCAGAAGAAGGTGCTGCGGACTGAGATGTGTAGGAGGCCTAGGGACCCCCTTAGGGGAGGTGCTCAGGAAGCAACTGGAGGTGGGGAAAGGGGAGAAGCCAGAACAAGGAGGTGCTAGATGGAGACAAGAACCAGAGACTAAAGAAGAGTCAGCGGGAGGGAGGGGCCTGAGGTGGATTGTTGTCAGCAGTGGCAAAGGAGGAGACACAGACCAGGAAAGTAAGCTATGCCTCACCCTCTCCTTTCCTGAGGGGTTTGGAGGAGGCCTGGTCAGGAACCCTCTACCCTCACGCCTAGTGACTTCCTGATTTCACTAGCATTCTCTACCACCCGAGGCTGGCCCAGCACTTAAGACTGAGGCTGACTCAGGGCTCTGCTTATTCTATCTGTGGGAGGTTTGCACCCCAGAAGAAGCAGGAAAGAGCCTGCAGTTACCTGGGAAGGACTGGCACGGAGGCCATCGGAGTGTCCATTGTAGATGTATATGCTGCCATAGCTGGTCCCCTCACCAAAGCCCTCCAGAGGGGCCCCAATGGCCACATCTGTGAATTTATCTTGATTGATATCCCCCACTGCCGCCATGGCAAAGCCGAAGCGGCTGTTGGTGAACCTGTGATGCCCACTCAGTGTGAATGCCAAGGAGAAGGAAGGATCCTGCAAAATGAAAGAAACCAACAGCTCAGTCCCCAAGAAAGGTGCTGCACGCAGGGCAACCATCCCAGGACCACCTGGAGGGCATTCTCCCTCACTGGTTCCCACTTTCCAGCAGGAGTCTAAGGCTGAGAAAAGACAAGGGGCCTGAGCCTGTATTAAGATCGGGGGGGGGGGGGGTCTTTCTGTCTTTAAGTTCAGGGCCTGGAGCCTGCCCCTCTATTCCCACACATTGCTATATTAGCAACAGAGAGGCCTGCGGTCCAGCTGTGTCTCTCCCACATCTCCCAGCATCACCGGTTAGCTCACTGAATCCCAGAGTCCTCATTGGTAATGCAAGAGTAAGAGCCACTCCCACAATTACTGTGAGGAACAAGGTAGACCAGGCAAGGTAGACCAGGCACGTGTTCTGTCTACTGGGCAACTACGACAGATGCTTACCACCTAGGTAAGAAACATGGAGACAGCATGCTCCCTGGCTGTCTGGATGGGGACAGCCATGCTCTCTGAACACCCACCATCACTGCCCAGTGTTGCCAAACAGATGTCAGGCCAGGGCTCATCCAACCTCTGCTGCCTGAGCAGGCACAGCCTTGGCAAGCTCATGGGGCCAAACACTCACCTGCATGTGCACGTGGTACACATAGACTCTGCCTTCTTCTCCACGGATGTGATAAAATGGAGCGGCCACCAGCAGAAAATCCGTGGTTCCATCCATGTCAATATCCACAGGGCACAGCTCAGAGCCAAAGTAGGACCCCATCTATAGCTCAGAAAGAATTCAGCCCTCCTGAGAATGGGGACACCCCCTTTTCCACCCTCTCCACAGTTAGACACACTACATATGTTCTTCCTGGAGCACCAAGAGGGTGTTCCAGATCAATCTGATCTCTGTTGTCACAGGGGATTAGAGATAACAGCTAAGTCTTCACCAACGGTGACCATTGAGCAGACATGAGGGCCACTAAATTACACTCATGCCTCAGCCTTGCCCAGGGTGGGCCCACCCGTGTCCCCAGGGCCTCAGGGCTCCTACTGATGGAAAGGTGACTTCTCCAGGAGGTACCTGCTCTCCCTCTATCTGTCGCACAAAGGTGTCCTTCTTCAGAAGCTCAAACACAGCCCCACGGAGCTTGTGCCTTGGAGCCCCTGCCACGTAGGAGAAGCCATCGGCCCTGTGCAGCACTGCCACTGAATAACCTGGGGCCAAAGTGGTGCGACTGTAAACAGTTGTCCCCCCCCCCAGCCGCTCCCTGCAACTCCATCTTCCTAGTCACATGTTCCCACTCTGCCCTGACAATGACATGTGCATCCCCACACATGTGTAGTGCAGTGTACCCCTTCAGTACATGAGCACTGGATGGGGAGGGGTACTCACAGCTGTTATTAACAGAGGTGTCCAGCTCCCTCTTACTCAGAGAGGCCCAAGGCCAGCCTACCTCCACCCCTAATTCGCAATCACAGGGTCCCTAACTTAGATCTGATCGCCTAATTGTGCGAGAGCCACGAGATTGACTGTAGCTTGATTCCACCAGGAATCCTAATGTGTATACCAGCAGGCAACCTCGGTGTCACAGACTGCATTGTCCCTGGGTTAGTTTAGAAGTCCGTCTTTTAGTCCCTCCCCCAGACTACAGAGACAGCTGTTGCTCCACACACAACCTCCAGGACCTGTGTTCATCCTACATCCATTTGTTAGGTTTCACTGCACTCCGGGCTCCGCCTTCCCCTTCCAGGCTCCGCCCTCAACCCACACCAAGCCTACAGGCCTCACCTTCACCCACCTTCCTGCTTTCCTCTAGAGCCCTCTCCTTCTCCAGGACCCACCATCATCCTGTGTGCATCCACCACACCCCGCCCTTACCGAGATAGCTGTACTGTGCAGCCCCAGAATCCTCAGCTGTTTGGTTTAGGAAGCCGCCCCGACGACTCTGTGTGTCATAGAGCAGCGCACCGCCAGACCAGTTAAAGGCTCCCACAGTGCCAAGTAACACCTGCCCCTGCAGAGGACCCAGAGGGCATCAAATGAGCGGGAATGATCCAAGACCCAGCAAAGCAAGACTTCCTGGACAAAGAGGGCATTCAGTGGTCAGGAAGATGAGATGGCAATATTGTGTTTCTGCTCTGCTTTCATGAGTCTGAGTAGCCCTAGCTCCAGATGGCACCTTGGAGCCCAGATATTGAGCATTTTTTTAAAGTATGTTTGAGTATTATGGCGCTCATAAGCCCCCACATTGCCCCCTGTGCTGTGTGAAGGTGCTGTGCCTATCGGTGGAGGAGGTCCCAATGGCACTGGCATGACTGACTTCAACTCTCACCTCCACAGAGGTCCAGTTAGGGAGTGCTCCATCTGTTGTCCCCTTCCTTCTTCCTTCTTGGCTTCCTCTTCTCCCACATAAACTACATGTTTTCCTGACACACCTCCATGGGCTTGCCACCAAAGCCAAATCTCAGTACTTTCAGCTGAGAGAATGCCCCAATCCTTTAAGCACACAAAACGACCTCCTAGAATAAGCTCGCTATCCTTCTGTCTATCTCAGCGGTCCAGAAAACTAGCAGATGGTTTCTCTGTTTCTAAAGTGGCTCCTCCAGAGACACTCCCACAGGGTCACTATGAGCCAGGAGCCCCTTATTGCCTGGTGGTGGCACATCTTGGGGACCTGACTATGCTGAGTGGGTCACAAACCTTGTCCAGGATCTGGGCGCTGAAGCCGGTTTGTGCAAGTTGGTACTGAAGGGCATCTCCAACTGTGCCTGGAAGCCAAGGAATCTGGTGAGACACTGTGCCAAGGGCCAGGCCCCAGAACGGGTATTTGGTGGAATGGTGCCTTGAGCTGAGAGCAGAGATCTGGGTCCCGCTGAAGCAAGAGCTGACTGGCTAGGCCCGGGCAGTCCACGCTCTCTTCCCGGGCCTCGGCCTCCCTGCCTGTAAGCTCCTGTTGGGACTATGTCCCAGTCTTCCCTGCTTTTCTACCATTGTTTCAGGAGATTTTCATAGATTCAGGGGGGATGAGGAGGACTGGGGGTGTCATTGCCATTTTAGGGATTAACAACTGTGGCTCAGGGAGGTGGTTAAGGTCAGGGAGAGTTGGTCTGGGGAGGGTGTCCTGCTAGACCCTGAGGGGGCTCTCACAAGCCCTGGGGGAGCCCTCACCTTCCATATGGATGATGCTTTGCTGTAGCTTGCTCAGCAGCCCGTCCAGAGCCGTATAGTTGGTCACCTTGAACATGTGGGTCTCTTTGGGGTCTGAGGCAATTAGCTTCAGTTCTTTGTCAGTCTTAGGCTTCTGGAATGCATCACCCACCTGGAAGGAGGCCCCAGTCAGTGAGAGATCCATCACCACCTCCTTCCTTCCTTCCCTGCTCACTGGCCCTTTACCCCCAACAAAGTTCCACTTTTGGCGGTGTGTTACTGACACACCTGGCTCTCCTTGGCATCCTCTGCTGACCCCTCTGCCTACAGAGCCTCATGACCCTCCCCTGTGCAGAAGGCCAGCTGTTCATGTTAGCTATCAGGACTCAGCTCAGCACCGTCTCCCTAAGGACCTTTGTACAGGCTTTCCCCTTCCTTCTCAGCCAGTGAGCTATGACCACCTCAGGATGAGCCTTCTGTAGGACCCAATTGTGGTGGTGGGGGTGCGTGCAGAAGCAGATGGCCAGGAGAAGAGGAATGTCTGTGAATGGAGAGAGTTTGGATATACTGTTTCCAAAATTCTCCACTGGGCTCCTCCCGGGCTATACAGAGCCAGGGGTTGCCTCCCAGCTCTTGGCTCTTACCCCAATGGCAAAGCGCTCAACACCCTGCATCTTTGGGGAGTTGATGACAGTCGTAAGGTTGAGAGGGTCCCCAAATATGTCACCGTCGGTAAGCACCACCATGACCTTCAATGCTTTCTTCCTGGAGCCGCGGCTTGGAGTGAAGATGTTGTCTCTTAACAGAGAAAGAATAAAGATAATCCTCCAAAGAGGTATCTGGGCTCTCGGCAAATTTTTACTCATTGACCTGCTTGATCTGGAGAGTTAAGGAGCCCTCCAGATGGGGAATAAAGGTCCAGGAAAGGGTGGGTTTGACCCTTACTTCACACAGCAAGGCATAAGCCACACCACGGATGTGCTCACTCCCCACCTGCTCCCTACAGTAAGAGCACTGCATCCGCCCCTTTTATGTGTACACAGTATGGAATTTTTTTAATTAATTAATTTATTTATTATGTATACAATAGTCTGTCTGTGTGTATGACTGCAGTCCAGAAGAGGGCACCAGACCTCATTATAGATGGTTGTGAGCCACCATGTGGTTGCTGGGAATTGAACTCAGGACCTTTGGAAGAGCAGGCAATGCTCTTAACCGCTGAGCCATCTCTCCAGCCCCAGTATGGAATTTTGTGTTAAAAAAAAAAAACAGGCAATACTTATATTTTTATTTTATGATTATTTCACTTTTATAAAAATTTATACAACTTTTGGGTTTTCTGTTTGGTTTGGGTTTCTTCTTTGTGACGAGATTTCTCTACGTAACCCTGGCTATCCTGAAACTGACTCTGTAGGTCAGACTAGCCTCAGACTCACTTTTGGGGTTTTGAGGCACACTGTTCAACCTCCTGAGTGCTGGCATTCCAGACACATGTCACCAATGCCTGGTTTCTATGATACTTATGCACCGGACATTATCATAAATACTGTATATATTTTAGGTATTTAATCCTCACAAAAATCCTAAGACGCGGGCTGGAGAGATGGCTCAGAGGTTAAGAGCATTGTCTGTTCTTTCAAAGGTCCTGAGTTCAAATCCCAGGAACCACATGGTGGCTCACAACCATCTGTAATGAGGTCTGGTGCCCTCTTCTGGCCTGCAGGCATACATACAGACAGAATATTATTATGCATAATAAGTAAATAAATAAATATTTTAAAAAATCCTAAGACGCAAAGATGTGTATTATCCTCGTGTCAGATGTGATAGCACTTCTCGGCATCCTTACCTCCCCCTCCCACAGTTCCGCCCAGCCTCTCCTCCAGACCCTATGCCACAGAGCCTCTGGCAGGCATCCAACTCACAGGACATGCTGCATGGCTGAGGCGGTCTTAGTCATATTCTTCACTTGAATGATGTTCTGAACTCTGGCAAGGGAGGCCACAACGTCCTGGCTGTCTTGAAGATCGAACTCAGTCTGGATCACTGTCCCATACTGCACCAGGGCAAAGTTGCACTGGAGAGCAGAGTAAGGTGGAAGGAGTCATCAGACCATACTCTAGACACCCCTGCCCCAAGGGGCTTCTCTTGTAAAGGCAGGAAGAAGCCCCTCATCTACTCTGTTGACCCTGGACAGAAGGGGATGCTAATGCAAAGGGAGTCTCCAGTCAGGCACAGGTGGAGGAGAGTGATTTCTCCCTGAATCCATATCCCCATGACTACCCCTCTATGTTGACTGTAGGATCTGCCATGTGGCATTGGGGCATGAAAAGTTGGGTTGTCCTTTTGGAGATTCACAGCTCCCACAAATGAGAAGGGTCACCTCAAGTCACCCATCTGCAATCAAGCAAGCAGATGTCTATAGGTGCATGGTAGCTCCAGGCAAAACTGAGAGAAGAGTCGCCCGGCTGAAGAGCTCTGAGCAAACGAAGGGTGGTTGTTCTGAAGCCATTACACAGACACATGTGAGCGCCAGGCAACAAAAGCTCAGACCTCAAAGAAGCCCACCTCAAAGCACTTCTCATAGAAGTTCTTCATCATGTTGGAGATGAAGTCTTTGGCCCTCTGGAAGTCTTCGGGCTCGATGCTTCCTGAGCCATCCAGAACAATAGCAATCTCAGTCCCTGGTAAAAATAAAGGAGTAGGTTGGGAGTGGGTATGAAATTCGGGGCAGGAGAAAGGACAGCATGTTCCGCCCTGTAAGGCACCCACCAACTCACCTACACACACATACACAAAATACCCAACTCCTGCCGGGTGGTGGCGGCACACACCTTTAATCCCAGCACTCGGGAGGCAGAGGCAGGCGGATCTTTGTGAGTTCGGTCTAAAAGAGCTAGTTCCACGGTTTCCCCACCTCTAAGATGAGCGAGGCCAGCTAGATGGCTCAGCTGACAAAGGAGCTTTCTGCCAATCCTGATGACCTGAGTTTGATTCCTGAAACTTACTTACATAGTAGTAAGGAGAGAACCGGTTGCTGCAAGGTGACCTCTAATTTCCACATGTGTGCTGTGATACAGGTATGTTTGGTGCATGAGTACACCCATAGCCATGCACAGTGAACAAACATGCAAACAAATAAATGCTAAAAATATGAGGAGACAGAGGCAGCACTTGCCATATCTATAGGACCTAGCCACCATTCCTCATCTTTAGGACATAATCACTGTTCCCTGTCTTCTAGATCTGAACACACCTTGATTCCAGAGGCCACTAGCTTGGGGGTTCATTATGGAGGCACCTGATCTGCCTCTTCTCACCAGCTTCCTCCTCTTCATCATTCTCCTCTTCCTCCTCCACTGCCCGGGGTCCTCTGGCTGGTGTCTTATCTTCCCCTCTGCTGCCTCCTTTGCTTCTGTAGCAGTGACCAAGGTCCACACAGATGCCTGAATCCAGGAGTTTTTCTTTAAGAAACATACGGAGAAGACAGAGACAGATGAAGCCTCCATGCACCACCACCTGTCCTTGAGGCATCCTTAGTTCTGACAATGACCCTGAGCTTGCTTGTCCCATTCTGGGCCTTCACCTCTGTCTGCCTCCACTTTGAGCTGGTATTTCTTATTGGATCCCTTTATGACTGCCCAAGACCAGAGAATCTCCAATCCTTACCAAGGTTAGAGAAGTAGACTTGGTCCTGGAGGTCCAAGCTGGGGCTCAGTAGGCTGCAGGCACCTGTGAGTTCGGAGTTAAGGCTGCTGGGCTGCCGGGCCCGTACCTGAATGCACACCTGGGGAGAGGCAGAAAGAAGGAGTAAGCAGGGCAAGTTGGCCCCCTATTCCCTGGTCACAGTCATTCCCATTCTAGAACTCAGTGGCTGAACTAGACAGAGGACAGAGGAACGGCTGTGTCCCTCCTCAGAGTCAGGAGTCAGTTGCTAGGGTCCAAAGTGCAGTCCGTGGGCGCTGGATCAGACTTGGCATCTGTGTAGATGATCGGATGGCAGATAGATGGCAGCGTGGCATCCATAGGACTGGCAACACCATCATCACCCACAGAGGCCAATACCAGCCTCCCCCAAGGCCCTCTGGCCTCCTGCCTATGTACTCACCAAAACACCATGGTGGTTCCGGACCACTGTCACTCCCTGGTACCTGCCCTTTGGCATATAGATGTTCTCTGAAACAGTTAAAGCAGGGAAGGATGAAGGGATTCGGGGAGGTCAGGCAAAGGTCAGGGGCACAGGGCTGCTGATGTCAGCAGTCTCTTGACACTGGGGTTGGGGGTTCCACAGGCGACAGTAGCTTGGGCATGCCAGGATGCAGTCCCTGTTCAGCCCCATTTACCATCTCAGCAAAGACCCTGGTGCCCAGTCTTGATATCATGGTAGGGATTCAGAAATGACTGTCACTTGGGGTTTGTCAAGGGGCTCCTGGTGTGTGCGTTGGGGGCAGTAGATTGCAGGTGCCTGTGAACCCTGATTAAGGCTGTGGGGCTGGCTGCCGGACCTGGACCTGGACCTGAATGCATGTATGGCGAGAGGGGTCCAGGAAGATTCCCAAAGTCAACCTTGAGCCTCCACACATATGCATGCCCGCCTACATGTGAATATACACAGAGACATGTAAAAACATGACTATATTACTAACAAAGTGCCATGGAGAGCAGTCAGTGAGTATTGGTTCCAGATCTGTCATCAGGAGTGATCAGGAGAGGCAGGCTGGGCTATGGGTGGGTGACATGGGGCTGGGCATTGGGGAGAAAAGCTCACTGTGGGGCTGGAGATCAAGGGTAGTAGGGCTAGATCAGGCAGGACTGGCGTTGGAATGGCTTGGGCTGAGACACGAGAGATTCTTAGGAGCATGCTAAGGAGGTAGAGTTGGCTTACCTACTGGATGGCAAGCAATTTCATCTGGAATGGTGGATATGGCACATCGATACAGGGGTGCTGATGTCCTGTTAGTGCTGCGCCTGGTGACCAGGAGGCTGAGTGGGAGGGCAGAGAGCAAAGACAAGCTGGCTGAGGGCTCCTTTCCCTTCCCTGTCTGCCCAGGTCCTATCTTCCTATTCCTGCCTGAGGAGGAGGCCCAGACCTGGGAAAGGCAGCTCCCTAACCCAGGCCTCCAGACTCAACATTATGGAGTAAGCACTTCCTCATCTCTGCTTCTACAGGGCTCCAGGAAGGAAGACAGTTCAATGTAGCCCCTGACTGCCTGTAACCGTGTCTATTGGTAACCCTTGTCTGCCTATAATCCCTGTCGTCTGCCTGGAACCCCTGTCTGCCCGCCACGCACCCTGGCAGGGTTTGGAGCATGTCTGGTGGTTAAAAAAGACTGCTGTCCTGTGGATAGAATGGGGGAAGCTATCAGTCACAATGCTGGGTCCTTGAGGGGTGAAGCCGGCTACAGCATTGGACCCACCTGGCCTTAGCATTTCCTGACTAAGAACTAGTGTTTTGGAGACCTCATGAAGACAGCCTGAGCAGATGTCAAACCTGCTGCAAACCTCTTGTCCCCCAACCCAAGTCCAAGAAGATGGCAGACAGGACAGAGTCAGCTTAAACATTCTCACTGTCCATGTGCGTGACTCGGTGGGGCCTGGGGCTTGGCTGGCCTGAGACAGCAGGTGAGCGAGCAGCTCTGCCAGGGTTGGAAACAGAGTGTGGTAGGGAAGGAGAGCCCAAGAGTGCCTTGGTAGTTAACAGCAAACCATGTCTGAGGACTTCGCGGGGGTGACAGGAAGCCATGGAGGGCTTTGTAAAGCGGAAGCACATGATTAGCCTACGCTTTTGAAAGGTCATGATGTGGCTGTGGTGGACTGGAGGACAAGCTAGCAGAGGAAGAGAAGACCGGGGTGCTGTCTCCACTTCCTTAGCTCTTACCACTAGACACCTTTTCTCTTTTTTTTTGTTTTTTTGTTTTGTTTTGTTTTGTTTTTTGAGACAAGGCCACTCAGTGTAGCCTTGGCTGTCCTGGAACTCATTCTGTAGACCAGGCTAGCCTCAAACATAGAAATCCACCTGCCTGTACCTCCTGAGTGCTGCGATTAAAGGGCTATACCACAATACCCAGCTTAGAATAAGGACCAGGCATCTTTCCTTTTCCTTTTTGGTGGTGTTGAAGATTGAACCCAGGGCCTTGTGCATGCCAGGGAAGTCCTCTGCTGCTAACCCACTCTCTGACTCCTCCTTGTCTGTTTTTTTTTTCAACCCATCATCACATCCCATAACCCAGGAAGGATCTGACCCCATCTCTACCTCTCCAACCTGCCCTGCTCCCCTAGAGAAAGACCTGCAGGTGTATGCTGTGGCCATTTTTAAAAAATTTATTTATTATATATATAGTGTTCTGGGCACCAGATCTCATTATAGATGGGTGTGAGCCATCCTGTGGTTGCTGGGAATTGAACTCAGGACCTCCAGAACAGCAGTCAATTCTTCTAACCCCTGAGCCATCTCTCCAGCCCTATGCTGTGGCCTTTAACAGACTTTAGGTCCTAGTCCTTTCTTGCCTCTGGCCCTCTGGCAGGGCTGTCTTTTCTGCCTGGAACCCCACACCCTAGTACCCCTGCTTCTCATGATTTCCAGCTTAGAACTTGTCACCACCAGAGGGTAGCTTGCCTCCTTATTTACCTACTGATCATCTGTCTCCTCCACTAAGTGAGTTCCCCAACAGTCTTGCCTACCTTGTCCGTCATCATGCACTTTCTGAGGCCTAGGACACTACACAGTGCAGGGGCTCAGTAAGCATCTGTTGAATGATTTACACGACAGTACAGCTGAGGGGTTGATGGGGGGGTGGGTTGGACAGATGGGTAGAAGACCAAAGCATTCCTGAGTCCTCACATTAGGTCACTGCTCATCAACTCTGCCTCTCTTCCCAGGCTGTCACAGCCTCTGGCCCAGTACCTTTCCCCCTGCTCCCAACGGTAGATGCGCTCACAGCTGTGTTCCCCACCAGACCACCTGGAACAGCGTGGCTCTCCAGCCACCTTCAGCCCTTTGCTCAGACTGCTTTCTCAACCTGTGGTGCCTTTTACTCCCGTCTCCTGCAGAACGACTTTCCTGGGCATCAGCTCTGCAGGAACTTCCCAAAGGAAGATACAACCCAACCCCCTCCAAGCCTCGAGAAGCCCCTAACTCCTAGATTCCCACTCCTATCCCCAATCTTTGTTTCCACCTTAGCTACCAGCTCCCAAGAGACCACCACGCGCAGCAATGCAGGCTGCGCACCGCATACCCCCAAGACAGCCAGTCATATTTCAAGTGTGCAATTCTATGGCCCAGTCTGTGCTGTTCCCATTCCCTTTTGTGGCTGGCAGCCTCCAAGTTTGCTGACTCAGCGATTAGCAAACCAGGTAAACACAGACTGAGCAGCTCTGCCAGAGGACTGGCCATCAGCTGGCAGCCCCAGGTTCCCTATTCCACTCTGGACTAGGTGCAGCCCCAGGACATCTCATCAGTCTCATGCCATCCCTCAGTTCTAGTGGTCTGTCATCCCAGAGGCTTCCACAGATCCTCCAGGGGAACCCTGCTTACAACCCACTCCACCCTTCTGCGGCAGTCACAGTCTAGGGAACCGGCAGTCTTACTTAGTCTGCCATACTTGAGAAAGTACAAGAGAGTTAGAGGGACGTGTTCTCCTCACTGTGGAGACGGGTGGGAGTGGATAGCAGCCTGTTCTGCTCTCTCTGGTGAGCTGGGCCAGTCAGTTGGCTCATTTCCTGCCCCCTGCAGCAGGCCCAGAAACCCAAAATTGTCTCCACCACATCCTCCTGCTGATATTGCAAACCCTCTAGCCCCCCTCTACCTGAGCAGGTGTTCAAGGAGGTGCTCACGAGCCCTACTAGGTTCCCAATCTCTTGACAGCTCCCAGCACGCTAGGCATTGGGTGCTTTAAATGCAAACACTCCCTTCCCATCTACCGTGGCCTTCAGGCCTCTAAGGGAGGGGAATTAAGTCTGTGAGCCTAGGCCTGGTAAGAGACCCACTACTGATAGTGGCGGAAAGTGGTGGAGGAGAGGAAGAAGGTGGACATGGTCACAGATGACTTGAGTGGGACTCCTTTCTGTTGTGTAAAGTTTGGGAAACAAATGCAAGCACAAGCTCCCTTTATAGGCCTGATCAAATAAATCTAGCTGTCGGTGGCGTAGAAGCCCCAGGGAAATCACCCACGTGCTCACCATTGGTCCTGTTCACACCACGCAAAACTCCAGCCTCAGACAGCACCGTGGCTGAAGGACCTAACACTGTTCGAGGGTTGCTGGATGGAGTAGGTTCTGTTTGTCTCGTCTACAGCAAATTGAAAACCAAGCAGAACTAATCTACAGAGACACAGAGTTTGTGTGCGTGTGTCGTGGGGAGGGTGGTGACTGTCAGTGGGGACGTGTCTGGTACAGAACACAGGGCTCCCAGGAGACTTTCCTGGTGCTCTTTGCCCATTTTGTTACTTTTTTTCTTTTTTTTAGACAGAGTCTGTCTCTCTGTGTAGCCCTGGCTGTCCTGGTACTAAGTAGACCAGGCTGACCTTGAACTCACACAGATACCTTGTGTCTGCTTCCAGAGTGCTGGGATTAAAGGTGTGGGCTGCCTACCATACCAAGCTGCCCTAGTGTTTTTGACCCAGATGCTGTTTATGAATAAGGTTTGTTTTATGAATGTACATTGAGCTGTACATTGACCATGTGTGAGCTTTCATGTATGATCTATGTCAATACAAAGTTACCACAAAACAAAACAAAACTAATAAATGTCAATTTTTGTTGTTGTTGTTTTGTTATTGAGACAGAATCTCACCTTACAATTCTAACTGCCCTGGAACTTGCTATGTAGACCAGGCTGTCCTTGAACTCACAGAGATCTGCCTGCCTCTACCTCCCAAGTGCTGAGATTAAAGGCGTGCGCCACCACACTTAGCCCAAACATCAATTTCTAATTCATCTTCTTAAAGCCAAAATCTTTTGACAACATTCTCACTGTTCCTGCCTCATACCCTTCTAGATCTTCTAGACCCTCCCTGCGATGGTGTGAGGTTCAGCCCACCTTTCCCATCTTATTCTTCACGGCTCTCAGTCTCAGCCACTGGACATTTTCTTAGCCGCCTCCCTGGCTCGGGGTATCCTCCAGGCTTTTAGCCAGGCTCTTCTCTCTGCCAGAACTCCTTTCTCTCAGCCCTTATCATGGTAACTTTGATCATCCCCAGGTCCTGGCACAGACACTGAAGCTGGCCTTTGTTCAAGTTCTGGAAGCACCAGAAGGTCCCACCACAACTATTAGTATTGTTAGCATTGTGACACTTGTGTCCTTCATGAGCCCAGCAGCTGTCCAAGGACAGAGGCCACATCGTGCTCTCTTTTGGGAGGATGTGGGAGACAGAGTCTCACTATGTAGCCTTAGATGGCCTGGAATTCACTATGTAAACCAGGCTGTCCTCAAACTCGCAGAGTTCTGCCTGTCTCTGCTTGAGGGCCGAGATTCAAGGTTTGTGACACCAATCTGGCTCGCTCTCTGTTTTAATCCACAAATTTGTCTAGCACCAAATAGATGCTGCATAAATATTTGTTGAATAAATGAAATGAACTTGCCCTTACCACTTAAGTCTACTGAAGAACTCCACTCCACCAACCGAGATCTTACGGTTTACAAGCCGCACATGCCACTAGACACGTGCTATTTTAGTCTTAATAGTGATATTTCAGTTAAGATTGTACAGCTATAAACCACATAAATCAGTCACTGACCACATAAACAGCGATATTAAATCCTTTCACTCTAGCAATGAGAAACCCAGGGTTGACAAAGGGATCTGAGCCTGCTTTGTGGGTGTGGCCAGGGTGACACCCGAGACTGAGGGGGCCATTTTTTTTTTTTTTTTTTTTTTTTTTGCACTAGCTGCTAATCCCCATGCATTCCCCACTAGGCAGAGCGGCTCTGCTCAGCCAGGAACTTTTCTCTCTGCTGCAAGTCTGGGCTCACTTTTACAGGTAAGTATAAAGAAAACTCCCAGGTTGGAGGTGTAGCTCAGTGGCAGAGAGCCTGCCCAGCCCATGTGAGACCCTGGATTTGATTCCCAGTACCACCTGTCCAAATTATTTTTTGAAGATTTATTTATATTTGTTTGTTTATTTGTATAGTGTGTGTACATGTGTGTATGCGCACATGTGCGTATGCATGTGTACGTGTGTGTGTTCTGAAGCATCTCTCCAGCTCCCGTCCCCACTTTTGCTATTAAAAAAAAAAATAACTGGCAAGATAAAGGCACCTACTACCAAGCCTGGTGACCTGAGTTCTATCCCCAGGAAAATAAAATACATAAGTAAAATACAATTAAGAAAAACCAAACCCTTGATTACTGAGAAGAAACAAAGCAGATGAGGTGGAACGTGGACAGCAGCGGCCCGAGGCTGGGCTCCAGCCTGGCTCTGTGGCAGAGCGAGCACAGAAACAAGCCCTACTGCCTTCATGGGGAGAGAGTGGTGGAAGGCTGGGCACGGCAGCACACGCCTTATCCCAACACTGGTGGTATGGCCTATAACCCCAGACTTGTGGAGGTAGCAACAGTAGAATCAGGAGTTTGAGGTTGAGCTATGTGAGACCTTGTCTCAAAGCCCCCCTCCCCCTCAAAAGGGGGTGGAAGGGGTAGGGTGGAAGGAGGAATGACTACTTTAGATTAAATTAAAAGACACTATATACAATCCAAGATCCATAACTGGATCCTGACTATGAAGCAATATTGCTCATAAACATGTTGCTTATTGGTGGAGAGAGTGCTTGCTTAGTATGCAAGTCTCAGAACATGAACAAGAACAAAAATAAAAATAAAAAATTAATCTCCCTGCACAAGAAAGAAAGAACGAAAGGAAGGAAGGAAGGAAGGAAGAAAGAAAGAAGAACCTAAGTTACAGGAAATGGAAAGGGACCACAGACAGGACTTTACATACGAGCTTCTCCTCTACCTAGATCTACCCCTGCCTCAGTGCTCAGCAAGACCCCTATCTGTAGAAGACATATTTGACCCACTATGGCCCTGATCAATAGGAAGGCTACCTGACCAAAAGGGACTGGGCCAGTGGGGTGGGGTGGGGAGCACTGTCTGCTTTGCTCAGTGTTCCATTCCCAGGGCCTAGCACACAGTGGAGGGGCTCAGCACACAATGGGTACTCCATCAGGCTTTGGACTGAATAATAACCTGCCTTCTTACCTCATTTCCAGGCTGAACACTACGCTAGTTTCACTGGTTTGACCTGCTTTCCATTTCACGCAATCATACTGTATTTATTCTTCTGGTCTTTCGTGTTATAATCACTGCAACTATCGGTGTCTCCATGTCAGGGCTAGGAGCAAAGCTCAGTAGTAATAGCTTAGCATTCTTTATGCCTTGCATTCAATTCAGTTCTCAACTTCACACACGCACCAGCATGAGCGAGTGCGCGCGCACACGCGCGCGCACACACACACACACACACACACACACACACACATCCTGGGGCGGGGTCCTGGCTTAGAGCATGTGCTTAGAATGTGTAAGATCCCGGGTTCAGTCCCAAGCACCACATTTTTTCCTTTTGCATGAGCCTGTGTGTCTCTCTAGAGCTGGTCCATGGGGTGTAACTGCTGAGCCCAAGGCCACTGTGCATCCTTGGCCCACCAGACATGACCACGCTGTTGTCCAAGGTAGCAACGCCAATACACTCCCACATATCCCTGTTTCACCATATCCTCACCAGCACAGCGCTCTCAGATCTGACCGTTTTTGCTCAGTCAGGGTGGACACAGATAATATTTTCAAGATGTGACATAATGTTTATCATAGCTCAATTTGGTCAGAACCCATGTAAAGAAAGCCCTTTGGGTCCATTTTCTCAAACAGTCCTACGGCAACCCTGTGAGTTCTGGAAACCAGTCAGAGAGGAGAAACTAAGGCTTGGGGACCAGCGCCTCACTAAGCTTGCTGAGTGAGTACAGTGAAGTGCCTCTGCCAAGACCCCCACAACAATGAACTCTTTGAAGGTCTCTCTGTATAGCCCTGGCTGTCCTAGAACTCACTCTGTAGACCAGGCTGGCCTCAAACTCACAGAGATTCATCTGCCTCTGCCTCCCAAGTGCTGGGATTAACAGTGAGCACCACTACTGCCTGGTAAAGTTTTGTTTGTTTGTTTTTGGTTGTTTTTTTGACAATGAACTCTTGACCTCTGTGGCTGACCCTCGTAGTTTCCATTTTTCCTACAATTGTTTATTTACTAATTGTCTCTCTCCAACTTTTCTATGTTGAACACATGTAACTTATAAGTCAGAAAAGACCCTCAGTGAATTTCATTTTAAAGTCTTATTTAAGGTCCCCTTCCCTAACCAGCACAGGGGACACTGAATGAGCAGAGGACAGGGGCTCTGTGAGCTCCACAGGCTGGTCTAGGGGTCACGGCACCCACCTTTCTCTGGCTGTGTGCCATCCACAAAGTGGAAATCATGCTATTGCTATGCAGGTTATGAGGTGGGATGTGGCAGCCTTCTTTGGGGTGCACCGCAGGCATCGTGGGGGCCACCCAAGATGTCCTCACCCTTCCACATGGTAGCCCCACTCACCAGGTTTGGTTAGTGCTGGGGTCTTGATGCAGAAAGGAACTGAGCAATGGAGGTTCACCTGGCCTGAGTGCTGTGACCCAGGGCCAGGCCACATCCACATTGAAGGCTTCCAGTGGCGTCAGGCCTGAGAACAAAAGAGAAACATCTGATAAAGCCGCACACTGTGGAGGCTGTGGCTGTACCTGTGCCCGCCATCAGCCCGTCAGGTCCTGTGGTGTCTGCATCACCTCCATGAAGGCCTTTCCCATTGGAGAGGGAATGGATATGGGGGTGTCTGACCCAGGCCGCTGGTCCCCATCCTAAGCCAAGCTGCTCCAGTCCCAGAGAAGACGACCTCTGAGGAGCACTGAGGAGCACTGAGGAGCAGTACCCATCCGCTGACACTTCCTGCTTTGTGACAGCCACACCAGTCATGCGGCTCTTACTGTGACCTGCACCAAATTAATGGGGATTCAGAGCCCCCTAGAGAAGGTCTGTACTATACCCCTTCATGTGACCCAAGAGGAAACACAATGTCTTCAAAATACCTTCTAAGAATGTTTAAGAGAGTTTGGCTCCTTACCAACCCTGAATTGGAAACAAGACAATGGCATCAGAGGGCGAGCAGAAGAAGTACCAATGTGCTCGCCTGATGGAAGACTACTAATCGGGAGTGAGAAGGAAGGAACCGAGACGCACAGCAGCATGAGAGGGTGGACCTCAGCTCATCACGCTCAGGAAAAGAAGCTTAAAGGCCTTAGAAACACAGAGCCGGGTGGTGGTGGCGCAGGCCTTTAATCCTAGCACTTGGGAGCAGAGGCAGGGGGATCTTTGTGAGTTTCAGGACAGATAGGACTGTGACACAAAGAAACTCTGTCTCGGAAAAAAACACAAAACAAACCGAAAAACAAAAACAAACACACACACACAGAGTTCAGCGTGGTGACACACACCTTTAATCCCAGCACTCAAAGAAGGCAGAGGTAGGTGGATTGCTAAACTGCCACCTTAGCTGTCTTGTGTAGTTCAAAGTCAGCCTGCTCCACCAAAGTAAGACCCTGGCAAAAAAAAAAAAAAAAAAAAAAAAAAAAGTAAAGAAAAAAAAAGGCCAGGAGTGGCACTGTACACTTTTAATTCCAGCATTCGAGAGGCAGAGGCAGTTGGATCTCTGAGTTTGAGACTAATCAGGTCCAGGACAGCCAGGGTTGCCCAGAGAAACTGTCTCAAACCAGCCCCTCCAAAAAAATAAAAATATAAACAAATTTTGAACTTTAGTCCACATGTATGCTGAAATGTTTAAGAATACATAAGAACCCAGGGTGTTGCTCATACATGATAGGATGGATAGATAGATATGAAGAATCAAGTAGAAAAGTATTCAGAGCTGTAAAATATAACTGCCTAATTTCTCAATTTTTCCGCTTTCATTAAAATTTGTAGAGACAAACCAGGCATAGCAGCCCAGACCTTTAATTCCAGCACTCAGGAGGCAGAGGCAGGTGAATCTCTGTGAATCTGAGACCAGTCTGGTCTACAGAGCGAGTTCCAGAACAGCTACATAGTTCCCTATCTAAAAAGACCCCCCAAAAATAGTGGAACAAATTGAAATTGACTCATTCCTCCCAAGAGGCCATCCTAATTCACACACCAATAACAGGATAAGTTTATTTCCCAAAGTGTTGTATGCCCTGTTGGAAAACCATATTCTACCATCTTGTTCCAAAACCAGGGATGAATGTCAGTGGTGAAGCATCTGTTTAGTGTGTGTGAAGCCTGAACTCAATTTTCACACAAAAATAAAATTAAGTGAAGCACTTGGTTTATGTCAACTAACATATTTTGCTATCAGAAAAATTGTCTGGGCATCTTGGATTTAATAGAATATAATACAAAATATGTATGTAAAAATTAATGGGAGAATAATCTTCCAATAAGTAAATGTTTATTTTCTGGTAGAGATTTTAAGAACAAATCAAAATAATTATACAAGGGTAGATTTACAAACTATGCTCTCGGGCTGGAGAGATGGCTCAGAGGTTAAGAGCACTGACTGCTTTTCCAGAGGTCCTGAGTTCAATTCCCAGCAACCACCTGGTGGCTCACAGCCATCTGTAATGAGATCTGATGCCCTCTTCTGGTGTGCAAAAAAACATGTTGTATATAATCAATAAATAAATCTTAAAAAAAAAAAGAATAGCTATCCAAAGCTGGGCATGGGGGCACAACCCTTTAAAAAATAAATAAAAAATAGACTATGCTCTCTTGGGTACAGGGAATGGAAAGATGGATATGTACATAACCCTATTTTTCTTCAGTAGGAAGATACAGTGATTTTTAATATGCATGACTCCAGCAATATCACTTCAAAATCTAAATGGCAAAAACCTGACTGGATTTAAAACATTACAGATGCCACAACCAAAGGAGGCTTCAACTTTAAGTTAGTATTAAAACAGACAAACATCAAGGATACAGCTCTGATCAGCTGGCAAGCTTGACCTAATCAACCAACAGAACACATTCCTAACAACGGGAAAGCACGTATTTTTTTTTCCCAAACACATGTAAAGGATTTGGCAAAGTTGACCAATACGCGGAATCTCAAAGCAATCCTTTACTGACAGATGAAGACAATTCAAAATACCTCCTTGACCATAACAGAATTAAAATCAACAACAAAAGAAAGCTGGAATAGCTGCTTCTTAGAAATTCAACAGTGTACCTTTTTACAGTTTCCTCTTTTTACTTTTGCAGCCACGAATTACGTTTTTAATATATAAAATTTTATACAAATGGATTAATAAAACTAAAATCTCAGGAGCTGGAGCGATGGCTCAGCAGCGAAGAGCACTGACTGCTCTTGCAGAGGACCAAGGTTCAGTTCCCAGCACCCACATGGCAGCTAACGAGCCATCTAGAACACTAGTTCTCTGGGATCTGATGTCCTTTTCTGACTTCTGTGGTCACCAGGCACACATATGTTGTGATACGTACATGCAAACAAAACATTCATACACATAAAATAAGTCTAAACCAGGAGGTGGCGGCACACGTCTTTAATCCCAGTACTCAGGAGGCAAAGGCAGGCCTTTGTGTGTTCAGGGTCAGCCTGGTCTACTAGAGCTAGTTTCAAGACAGCTAGGGATGTTACACAGAGAAACCCTGTCTCGAAAAACCAAAATAAATAAATAAATAAATAAATAATAAGTCTAAAAATAAGCCCCCCAAAACTAAAATATTAAGTAAAATATCCAAACCTCAAAAGTAGGCAATTAACATAAAACCAAATTATCTAGTATTTAAAACACTCAATTTTAGTCATATACTAACAAACTAATATTTCTGTTTACCAACAAAAATATTACATTTTGCACTGTTTTATCATTAATATCTTATCACTGTAAGAATTTATAATATAAGCTACACTATCTTAACGACCCCAGCCAACACGTCCTCTGAGAACTGCCGTTCAGACGGGACCTAGATTGGTTATAAACTAGAGTCGCAGAGGAAGTCACAACGGAAATGCTGAGAGCTTAGATTGAGAGATGAGAAATCAGAACCTGCAGGACACAGTAAAGCAGTGATTACAGGAACTGCACAGCCTGACACACGCTCAGAGGACAGAGGCTGAGGATGGTGGCACAAGCCTGCAGTCTAGACACTCGGAAGATGAGGACTGGAGAATCAGGAGCTCTGTGTCATCCTCAGCTACAATGGGAGCACAAGGTTAGCCTGGGCTACATGCAACCCCACCTTAAAAAAAAATTACAAAACAATTAAAAAAACAAACAAAACAAAAATCAAATTACACATACACATTCACACACACACACAAAGAAGGAAGGTGAGAAGGAGAAAAGAAAGAAGGAAATATAGAGCAAAGATATATAGCAAGGTTAGGTCTATAAACTATGCTAGCCTTAGTACAAAGAGTGGAACAATATATGTGCACACAATTCTATCCCCCAACCCTGTTATAGATGTAAAACTTCCATAGAAATATGGAGACTCTAGCCAATTATATATACACACATGAGAGAGAGGGGGAGAGAGAGAGAGAGAGAGAGAGAGAGAGAGAGACAGACAGACAGACAGACAGACAGACAGAGAGAGGAGGAGGAAAAGGAGGAGGAGGAGGAGGAGGAGGAGGCAGGGAAGGAGGGAGGGAGGAAAAGCCACAGACTAAGAGAACATAATTGCAACACACATTCACAAAAGATTCATTTCAGAATAGGAAAGAGTTTCTACAAATCACTATGAAATAAAAGCACAAAAGCTAACATTAAAAAAAAAAAGATTTCACAAGAGTTTATCCAAGCAGCTGTCAGTCACCTAAGATGTTCATAATTAGCTATCGGAGAAAGGCAAAGGAAGAGCATCATGTGATACATCTGTAAGCGAACACAGACAAGTGCTGGTGATGGTGGAGAGCAGCTAGGACTCCTGAAACATTGTGTAGGCCTTGTTTACATTGTATCTTTTTCTTTTTGACTTTTCGAGACAGAGTTTCTCTGTAGCTTTGGACTCTGTCCTGGAACTAGCTCTTGTAGACCAGGCTGGCCTGGAACTCACAGAGATCCGCCTGCCTCTGCCTCCCTAGTACTGGGATTAAAGGTGTGTGCCACCACCACCCAGCTTTGTTTGCATCTTAATATGAGCACACTCGTTGTTAAAAAGACAATTTGAGACTGATATTCACAGAGACATGGTATGAAATGGTTCAAACAACTCATTTGTTAGCTGATAGATTGCGGCAGTGGGAGAGAGCGCCACAATCTTCAGAAAAGCATGAAGGGGTTGGGGCAAATTTTATTTGCAATGAAATGAAGTTCCTGAGCCACTGACACGCAAATGAGTCTTTAGGGGCTGTTTGTGTCAATTCTGCTTATTTGTATACATGTGTATATGTATTTGCACATGTAGGGGTGCCTGCATATGTATGCAGAAATGTAGAGACTGAAATAGACATCAGGTTTCTGTCTTCCTTGATTGCTCACCTTAGCTATTAAGGCTGGGTCTCTTGGTGAAACTGGAGCTGAGTTGCTCCTTGTCTCTCTGCCTTCTGTGTGGAGATTATAAGAGGGGCTGTCACACCCACCTGACTTCCACATGGCTTCTGGGGTTCTGAAGTCCGTGTCACAC